TTTACTTTTTTTCGTGTTGTATTAAAAGTAACGAAAAAACAAATAGTTGATGTAGAATTATTAAAATGCATTGAACGATTTTAATTTAAAAACAAATGTGTGGAACCTTGATCATGTTGATCGTCTGCGAGACATTTGTCGAGTGAATCAAATTTCAAAATGACAAAAACTCTGAAACATTTATCATGTTTATTAAAGCATGAAGCATCATTTACAGTATATATATAATTACTATATTTTGTCTCAAAGCATAAATGTGTACGATGCTTATATTCATGTAGAATACAATGCTTTGTCGAGAACTTTTATTCTGGTTCTAATTAAGTACAAATAAAATATATGTTTAAGACAACATACGGTTGTTCTATTCATACTAGAAAATAGTAAAAGACACTAAAGGGACATTCAAACTCATTAGTTGAAAATAAACTGCCAATCCAAATAAAAAAAAAACAAAAAACCTAAAGATCAACAACATTAAACAAAACACAACATAGAAAACAAAACACTGTGTAACACGAATCCACCTAAAACCAAGGCAAATTTCAAGGGTAGGCAGATCCTGCTGCACATGTGGTACCCATCGTGAAAAGTAATGTTTCAAATAATTTTTTTTTGTTTGATCAACGTTTTGTTCCCAGCAAAACCATTCATATATCATATTAGATATATAATCATTTCTGTCCGATTCAAAAACCTTCAGGTAGAGTATAAGAATGATGATGTATCTGCGTGGATAGTCCATCAGTAGAGGTTTCTACTCAGTAGTAGCACAAACCCGTACCAATTTAACTGCACCAGATGCACATATCGACAATTGATGTTTTTTCAGTGTAATTTGTAATCAAATTATTTGAAAATTCAAAAATTCATTCAAAAGTTGATGAGCTTATTTCACCGAAAATAATTATTATTAAAGATAAAACGTACAGGTAATTAGAGATATGAAACATATAAAAATTAACACCAGCAGTGCTCGAAATAAAACAATATCTGAGGAAAGTATGTTATTTCAATTTAGTATACTTCACGTAAAAATGCCATATTGGCTAATACGAGGGTGTAAAAAGTTCGGCAAAGCTCGCGTTATAAATATGAAAATTGAATCGTTTCGATTAGAGAAATATCAAATCATCCAGTTTTAGAATCCAAATGTACCATTGTTAGGTAAGATGTCTGTAGACAAATAAAATGAAGTTGCACTACATCGTTAAATCGTTTCGCATTGAATTCCAATTCGCAGACATAAATAAACCTTTGCAATTCTGTTTAACAAATACTGATTTCTATTATCAACGATTGGATTGAACTATAATTTATCTACACTGGCTAAGACCAACCAAGGTTTTTTGCATTGCTCAATTTTTGCCTTTTTATGTTTTGTTTTGTAGTTGTGTATCTGCTTGTTTCGGTTTTTTTTGTTGTCTCGATGTACAATGTGGAGTATGCCTTTGGTCCTATTCCTTTCTGTAGATCATTATTCTAAGTATCGGAAAACAAATATTGGACTAGGACAAATTATTATGTTTTTGGACGTTACATCAACCTGCTGACCAAATATGAAGCCATTTTGTTCAGCAGTACAGCAGAAATGTGTTACAAGATATACATTTTATTTCACATATTGAAATATTCAAATTGTCTGCAAAGAGTAGTTAGGGGTCGAACAGAAATGTTCAAATGTTACAAATTGTTAAATATTGTAAATCTTCTGACAAAATATGAAGTAGTATATGTGATGAGTAATTTACAACATTCTTATAGGACGAAAGGACTAATTGATAGATCCCAGACCATCAATTTGTTACATGTATTTTATTCTTAAAATAACGAATGTCACATAAATGTCTGATAATCATTTCAACAAGGATGTATGGTCAAATTGTTTTAATCATGGGTTCAATATCCAAAAGTCTATCGACAATTTAATGAGATTAATGTATCTTTAACTATAAACCTTAAATTCCATGTACTTGACAACGTTTCTACGCGCCGGATGGGTACTAAGCACATCATAATTTCAAAACCAGCTAATAAAAAAGCCAAACATAATGCAAAGTATCGGCTTTCGAGCATTTTTAATTACTAAAGTATCATAGATAGACCACGTTATTGATTATGAAGAAAATAATAAATGTACTACAAAATAACGCTAGAAACAACATTTGAAAGGGATAACTGATTCGTAATTTCACTGAAGGTGACATATAATGTGTACAATTCGATATTGTCCTATACAAAACTTTAAATGCTTTAACACTATTTAGCTCTTTTTAATACTGAATACTTCCCTAATGGTAATTGTACATTTAATTTTGGTAAAGATCTTTACCGCAAATAATGAGCGAAAATAAATGTCCCATACATAAAGAATTAAAGTTTAAACATATCATATTTACAATGTATTTCTTTTGCATTTATCAATATTCCGATTTTTGTGATAAGACAGAAAGTTATCGATTTTCCAACTGTTGTTTACTGCGGCATGTTAGGCGTTTTTTTTCTTGGTTTCACATGTTTTTGTTGTTTCAATGATTAAATAAAAGACAAATGTATCCCGCCATTTTCTTTTTTTTAACTTATGTGGTGACATATTATACATGTATCTCATTTTTTAAAACTATTGTAAACCTGTCTTTTACCGACAAAAATTTATTGAATAATACTTAAAAATTTAAACAAATTACTTCATTTTTAAACTGTACAATGGACCATACCAACCACTAGCCCGACTCCTCTGCGTAATACAGACATTTAAAAAACAAATAACAACATATTAACGGAGTAATTGCATGGTGTCATTATATAGTAAGACAGAATAAGGGTACATAGGAACATCAAAATGTGTTGGGTAACTAAGGCAACAGTAGTATACGGCTGTTCAAAAGACATAAATCGATTGAGAGAAAACAAATCCAGGTTACAAACTAAAACCACGGAAACATATCAACTACAAGAGGAAAACAACGAAACAACAGAGACACTGAAGTGCAATAAAAACAAACGACAATGCAACATACATAGAACCGAACTATACGATAACAACTGCCATATTCCTGACTTGGTACAGGACATTTTAAGAAAACATGGTGGGTTGAACCTGGTTTTGTGTCTAGCCAAACCTCGCGCTTTATGGTAATGTTAAATATACTGTTCAAATGACAACATTACATGCCAGGATTACAGTACAAATAAATGCAAGCACACTCAGGACAGAGAATTACATAAATAAATAATATAATAGTACACAATGTTAACCACAGAATAACAACGAATACCTAAAATAATTTAGGACAGTTCACAAAAACATCATAAAAGAATTACGAACAATGCGTCACACGATTATATCAACGCCACAAAAAGTGACGCGTCACAGGTAAATTTCTAAAAATTAGATTTGTGTTAGTAATTGGGTAGTGGTTTTCAGTGACATTAAAATTGTGTTTTGTACTTACCTCATTACAGTATTAAGTTACTTCGTTATGGTATGTTATTGCTTTATTATTTTATGTGGTTAGTTTGTTACATTATGTAGATCATTTCTTTGACAAATAAATACTGAATCCAAGCCAAATTCAAAAAGGGGAAGTCCATAACAAGTCACATAATCAAACGCTATTATTGAAATCAAGTTTCTATCTGTATATACATTATAATAATGGAACCATAGTACGTTAGTCTTGTTGAACTACTAGAATAGATAAGATATTATTGTTTTGGTCTCTTGTCCTTCAGCCATATGATTTCACAATCTGATACCCTGAAGTATCTAAAAACAACGCTGACATATATTAACAAGGATATTATGACACATTGACTGTAAATTGTGTTCTTGATAGGGTTAGTTATTGTTGTGTAGTTTGGAGCACCGCCCAACATTTTTGGAAAGTTCCCCTCCCCCCCCCCCCCCCCCCGCCCCCCCCCAAAATAAAAAGGAATGTTTAAATGGTATCGAGATATTTGTGTAGTTTAGAAGGCACGTTATTATTAAAATATAAGAAGGAGGTCATTTACAATGTTTTAAGGATAGTTGCCTACAAAACCCATCAAAGATTCAGGGCTTATCATTTTATACGCGAGTCAAAATTTTAGTCTTTAATAAAGACTCATTAGTGACGCTCCAATAAGAAAATAGGCCATATAAAGTACGAAGAGCATTGAAAAGAAAACATTCCGAAAAGTTTTGCCAAATACTCCGAATTTAATCTACTTATTGGGTAGAACATTCTATTATTTAGTGGAGTAATTTCTGTTTGATCATGCATGTGAGGTGCCTCCATAAAAGAGTATTTGTTTGCAATAATTTACCAATCAAATAAAGTGACATATTTAGGTATATGAGGTAACGTCTGAGAATTTGTATTCAGTTTAAAAGCCAGTTGTTTGATGTGTTTTTTGCAATACATGCATTTTTGTAAATGAATTGTTTGTTTTATTTATAGATATTGAGGTTTGTTTTATTTAAAAATATCAAATGAAAAGCCAACTCCACTTCTTTGCTACTCTGTTATGTTCATTTGAAGAAAACAGTGTCTGTTTTACAATAAACCTCTTTTTATTGTCGTGTTTATGGTCTCATTTGATCGAGTTTGTTAACAAATTCAACAATTTTAATTTGGTTACAATAATTTATTGGATGGTTGCTGTTGGCCAATTTGAAAGCAATTAATGAAATACTGGTTATTGATTTCATAAGGTATCATTCAAAGTTGGTGCAAAGCTATATATTTTACTTATTAATATAGTGTAAGGGTAAATTCTAGTATTGCATTTTGTATTTTTGTGTGTTACAAAACTTTTGAATTTTTAAAATACTTAGATTTTCTACCTCAGGAATTTATTACTTTAGCTGTGTTTGGCAAAACGTTTAGAAATTTTGGTCCTCAATGCTCTTCAACATCGTACTTTATTTGGCCTTTTTAAATTTTTTGGATTCGAGCGTCACTGATGTGTCTTTTGGAGACGAAACGCGCGTCTGACGTAAATACAAAATTTAATCCTGGTATCTATAATGAGTTTATTATTAAATATTGTTTCCTTTGCGAATCATTGACAAAATAAAACAATTGTATAATCTAATTATGTCATTTAGACATTTATATCAAATTGTCTGTATGCAATTCTTATATCACGGATTCCCTAATAATTCAATCCAATATATATAACATATGGTTTGGCATTTTTCATATTCCTTTTCGTTTTTGTTTAATGTAAACTAGAATTGTTATAAAGCCTTTAATAAAAATCCAGTAGTTTCACACACAATATTCCTCCGTGTCCATCCCGCATGTAAACATACCACCCTGGTGTTCCATAGCCCGGATACTTTTCCAGAATGTTAGGATCTCCATCAAGAAAAACTGGGAAAAATGAGAACGGACTATCACCAAGAAATGGAATTGTTCCTAATAGCTGACCTTCAGTGGAAAAATGAAACAAATGCTGTCTTGAATACTTATGACTTATTTCTTTATCGTGTCTCCAAGAAACTAAAAAGCCAGCTGAAAAGTAAAAATAACTAGTCATTGAAATAGATAAAGCGACATCATTACATTTCAAATCCCAAAGAAAAAGTGCTCCTCAAAAGATTTATGCATTAATTTGTGTAAAACGCCACAGTCATCAAGATAGAATATTTTACGTGTACGGCGTTCAGTTTTATAGGTGGAGGAAGCCGAAATGTGTAATCATAACCACCGACCTCCGACAATAATACTGACAATCATATATAGATATGGGAAGATGTGGTATGAGTGCCAATGAGACAACTCTCCATCCAAGTTACAATTTATAAAAGTAAACCATTATAGGTCAAGGTACGGCCTTCAACACGGAGCATTGGCTCACACCGAACAGCAAGCTATAAAGGGCTCCAAAACATTACTAGTGTAAAACCATTCAAACGGAAAAACCAACGGTCTAATCTATATAAAAACGAGAAACGAGAAACACGTATGAACTACATAAACAGACGACAACTACAGTAATCAGATTCCTGACTTAGAACAGGTGCAAACATTTGCAGCGGGATTAAACGTTTTAATGGTACCAAATCTTCCCCCTTTTCTGAAACAATAGTAAAACATCACAACATAGAAAAACACATTATAAATATCAATTGGAAGGCTTAACTCAATCAAAAAACGTACATTAACACACAATGAACGAATAAATTTGACCTGTGACACCTGAATGCAAATACACAGTTAATAAAAAATTACAAGGGATAAATAATTAAAGTCAAAAGTAAATAAACAGGTTTAAACAAAGTTAAAGTATGATATCACTGTGAAATTTCAAACAATTTATAGAAAATCATCACTTTTGAAGAAACCTGCGTCATATTATACACAGGTAAATGAAAATAATTTTGTTGTTAAGTATACTTCTTCTGCTGTGTGTATACAATTTTCAGTTATGAAATACCAATTTCTTTAATATCAATAAAACTAATCTAACACTTGGTACAAATGGGGTGAATATCAACAATAAAAATATACAATTAGTGCTAGAAAAAACTTCCTGTATTAATATTGGAATCGATCACATCTACAACGTGCGGGGTTCAAGCTCACAACGTCAGTGTTGACAAGCAAGATATACATGAATTGTACTCGGGCACCAAAGCCCCTTCAATGTAATGAAAAACAGTTTAATTGGTGTTATTTTCAAACAATAATAGGTAAACCGAGAGAGTCTTGATTTATTTTGGATCAAGACGGAAACATGAAAACATATTTTTTTGGCTGCAAATTTAATAATCTAAATGTAAATGTCATGTTAGTAGGAATGTTGTTGATGTTCGCAAAATGAAATACACATAGTTGACTCGATATAAAATTGTTTTTAATAATCTCTAAATAAATATACACTTACAAGAACAACCAGTTAAAACAGAAATGATTTCAAGTACAAAAAGTAACGATTTGACGAGTTAATGGTGGTAATGTAGAATCACACAAATGTTTAACCCAGTTTATGTCATGTCTGTTCCTATCCCAAATCAGGAGTCCGTAAATAAGTGGTTGTCGTTGCTTGGTATCTGTCATACTTTGATCTCCTTTTTTCATGTCGGGGCTTAACATAGTTCTAAACGGTATGAGTTTTGCGTATTGCTGAAGGCCGTAAGGTGACATATAGTTGCTTTCCGCCATGTCATTTGATTTGAAATGAGTAGTTGTATTATTGGTGTGTATACACTATCTCCGTTTGTTGTATATTTTGTAAAATTCCTCGTGTGGCTGCTTGAAGCCAGGGTTTAAAAGTTCCGACTGTTAGTGTTGCCTTTTTATAGTTTCTTATTGAAATCCGGTACCTCTTTTAACTTACTATACAGTATGGGTTTTCTATTTTTTTTAGATTGGTTGTATGGTGAACTGTAGTTGTTTACATGAACAAAGTCATATTGTTGATAGTTTTTCTCAATATAAGGACATCCCCTTAGTTTGATTTATTTAAATTGATTGTTGGTTGCTTAAAGTACAGTGGCGAATACTACAAACATGTTTAGGACGAGAACAAATTAATAATACATACAAAAGATAGGTACAGTAATAGAGAGGACGTCCGGGATATAAATTAATTTAAACTGCCACTGGAAAATGAGAGTAGAAGGGATAAGTACAGTAATTTTATCTAAGGCTTGCAGTCAATATGATAAAAATCTCGAACCGTTGTTGCAAATGTACTTAACATTCAGAGAGTGTAGCTCTGTCTCTCTATAAGAAACACCGGATTTATCGTCGACATTCTGACCAGAGAGCTAGGCTATATACTGTACAGCCAAGGCTTTTATATCCGGTCGGAAGAAGACCAAGTGTGCCCTGATTTCTTTCAAATCCCCAGTCACCCTTATTGATATGTTAAAATAAATTAACAATGATAAACTTTATTGATAGTCTAAAATGTTATTGATTTCATACATCAAATTATATATTCTAAGAGAAAAAAGCTTTAAGATATTACTTATTTTTGTCATGTACAACACTTATTAAAAAAAACAAGCTTTGTGTCATAAAAAGAGATGGTTTGTTTCCTCAAATAATAAGGTTGTAGAAACAGATATACGACATACTAGAGAATTCTCCCATGTGAACTGAATTTGAACTTTCGGAAATAACAAAATTTTAGTGAAAATCAGAGACAACAGTATCCTTTGCATTACCTCCGCTTACATATTTATGTTTAAGTAGTCTAGGCTGTATTCTAAATGCATTTGTTTCAACGTCAATAAAAACTCACCATTTCTGCTGACAGAGCAGAAATCTGTTGGATAACCAGGCAGATGTATTGCTGTAGTTATAGAAGCCTCATAAAATCTAAAACAGATAGAAATAAAAAATAAAATAGCATTATACCATGTATACTGAAACTCAGATATGACCATTTAATACTGCATATATAATTTGTAAATGTTTAGAGAAAGTTCCTGGTTATTTAAATCAATAATGTCATCAATGTATTGTGTGATTGTATTCATAGATGTTGTCATGATAACATAATATACTGTTTTATTAGAGATGTGACAAGTCTTTTATTATAATTGTCTTTGACATGGCGTTTTTATTGTCAGTTTCTCTTCGACTTATGAGTTTTGAATTTCCCCTTTGGTGCCTTCCGCCTCCTTTTAATAATCTTATCTCAATTCCAATAAGTGAAAATATCATATTCCCCATTTCCTTTATTTTAAATTAAATTTCTGCTATCAATTCATCACTCACCATGTGAATTCACACACAAGTAGTCAAAATGACACTATCGGTAAAATTACAGATCAGACGACTTTACTAGTATCTCAAGATCTCAAACCGAGAAAACATGTCACTAGTTAGTATCGGTGTGCCAAATTGTGAAGGTTGTCGTCAAATTTTGATAGTGTCGATTTCAGTCTTTTTTCCTCATAACTCTGTTTGGCCCTTTTTTGTTTAAGAAGCACCCTGTTAATAAAGTCTTTATAGTGATAACATACATGAGCGTAACACACGTCGTTAGATATGTAAACGACATATAGTGGAGCAGAGGGTATGTTACCTCTGAGAAATGAAAGGTTTACGTTCGGGAATTTTAAATCATCCCGTGTGGTATAGATATTAAGCTTAAAATAAATCTATTTTCATGTAAAAAGATGTTAAAGTACATTTAATCAAATTGAAAGACGTCTTTTTGAGAATTTTGAAGTAGTGTATTGTAGAGAGTCCAGAAGCAGTAATTGTCCTCCGAATTAAAAGGACCATCAAAGCAATAAATTTATTTAAACCATCTAACGAATTTATAAACTTAAACAATCCTCTTTTACATTGTTTTCGTAAGATTTTTACAAAGTTCTTTGTGTTTTTATAAACGTACAACAATGTATTTTGTTAAAAAAATAATCGAGATTAGGGAATTGAATTTGACTTATTGCAAACACCTTTTAATGTGCATATTAAACACTCTTGTTTGGACATTGCTGTGGAAATATATCGAAGAACAAATCAGAGTGTCGACGTTTATTGGCATTGAAAAAATGGGACAATACACCATCGTAGCCAATTGAAAACTGTGGTCGAGCATCATTATGAAACAGATAGTACATATTTGAGAGCGGAAAAAAAAACCTACTGATGGGTCTTTCAATATCAAGTGATAAGAATGCCTTTGCACTTAAACAAACCCTGATTTTAAAGTCTGCTTAAAGTATAAATAAACCATACAAAAATAGAAGATGTTCCATCAGAAAAAAACCCATGGTGCAATCAAAGAAATAGTTGTACCTGTAAATATACTTTTTGATATATGAAAAAAAGTTATTATTATTTTTAATGACTTACTGATTACTTTGTTGTTCTGATATCTCAATGACTAAAAGCAAGGTTTCGGCATGCAGTACAATTCTATAAATTATGCTTTCATCAGTTTTTATTATCTTTGTCTCCAATAGATGTATACTAATGTTGTGTGCCAAATGAATAACATATTCATCTCTTACTAAAATATCCCTATAAACAATAATAATATGATAGCCACATATATTTAAAAATCTAAAACATTTACTTTAATTACTGATATCTAAAGGTCTACAGTGATTGAGGTAGAACTTACATGAAAGGTATTACTATTAACGTATATATCAAACTTTTATAAAATTAATACATAAAAAGTAAACATGAATTCAAGTGACTGTAATACCCGTTGGATGGTTATTTTTTTCAATATTATAAAGTTTCTTTACTTTTAATTATTCTGTTTGAAAGGACAAAACAAAAATTGATTTCGTATGTTCTACTGTTTGTGGATTGGGAAAAATCTTTATTTTCGTTAATAATTGATGTTGTTGATTTCCACAAATTGTATTGAATCCTTTTTAAAATATATATTTTATTGAACATCGAACTGGTATACCAGAATAATAATGATTCAACAGGGAGACCTCTCTATCCGAACATTTATTCTGACTCTGAGCGGACCAGCCCTCATCATTTACGCCGGTTGCAAAGCAGAGAGTTCGAACTAATTATTATCCAAATCGTTTGATTTGAACCTGTCAAAAATCATACTACTATTGAATCGAAAACCATACCGCTATAAAACTCAGGTTGTTGTTTTGGACTGAAGTGAGACCTATTTAGCTACATGTGTATATGAACCATATAGTTAACTATCATGAGTTCAGTAGATGTCAAGGCTAATGAACATGAGTTTTATTCGTTTTTGAACTTAAACTTTTTTGTACCTTTCAATGCTTTCTTTTATCTTTAAATTCAGTTTCAAACATGTGGTTTTCCTTATGTTAAATACACAGACTCCCATAGATTCTTGGACGACACAAACATCAGCATTAACAACAAAGATTTCTTTAACATTATTCAAATTTGCAATGATTGTGTTCTCATGTTCCAGTCTTATACACATTCTGCAAAAAATGCAAATATCAGCATTGATAGAAAAAGACCTGATAAACATAAGTAAAGTTATCAATTATTCTGTTGTGATGTTCCTGTATGTGATACATAGTGAAAAACACACAATAGCATTTACAACAAAATGAAAATAATACCTACTTAAATGATTAGACCAAAAAATAATTGCAAAGTTTATGTACACATTCTTAAAACATCGTTTGATTATTAACAAGATGAGGTAAAAACATTGAGAAGTAAACATGTTTCTGGTTTCTGGATTTTCACATATTGCGTCCTCGGTAATGCCCGCAGAGACACTAGTAGTGAAATTGCACATCTAGTGCGGTATTAGTTGTACCGTTTACGTAATTGTGGATTTTTCAGTGTTTTACAATAATTGTTAGTCATGTTTTCGTCTGTTTGTGCGCTTTGTTACTAAATATTTGATAAAGTCTGCTGGTTTCTTTAAAATCGTAACATATCTTGATGCGATGATCTGAGTTTAAGTGCAATTCATTCCAAAAATTCAACAATTGTATTTTTATGTTTGTCCCTGCGATCAGTGTGAATGAAATCTCGCCGTTTTTGCCATGCAACATGCCACCTGCTAACCCATTAAATGGTTGCTGTCCTGTACCAAGTCAGGAAAATGGCCATTGTTATATTATAGTTCGTTTCTGTGTGTGTTACATTTTAATGTTGTGTTTTTGTTGTGTCGTTGTTCTCCTCTTATATTTGATGCGTTTCCCTCAGTTTTAGTTTGTAACCCGGATTTGTTTTTATCGCTATCGATTTATGAGTTTTCGAACAGCGGTATACTACTGTTGCCTTTATTTATGTCTTTTTTAACGTGTAGAAATCGTGGCACTATCACTACACGGGAAATCAAAGTTATTGATCCCATAATGACTGGATCGGACTGCGTTCTTGTAGATCCTGCACAAACAAACGGGCGCCCCACTTTGGCATGGGTTTAACTACTGGTCGGAAGAATTCCAGAGTGACCATAATTCTATTCATCAGTCACCTTTTTGCTAGTCAGTAGCTCATTCGGAGTACAACAGAATGTTTTTCGGAAAAACGCATTGATTAATGGATATCATCAACTCTGAGTTTTGAAGCTATGAATTTGTTGCCATTTAAATATTCATGCATAACAGCATTGTGTTATTGATAGAGAATATCAATAAGAATATTTTAATTGACATCGTTTATCTGCTATCGATTCGCGATCCAATCAAATTATTTATTATCAACATGAATTGCTTATGCAGAGTTAAGTTTAATCGGAGTCCTAATCAGAGACCAAAGTTGGTAACGTTAGATCTACCAAAAATGACATGATGTACGATTAGATCAGATTGGACAAACATTTAATATTGGTTCTCTGTAACTATTTAAACTCTTACATAGGGAGTGTGGCACACATGGTCATCGATTTTCTTTAAACTTCACACACTTCCTAGTCTTGATGAAACAAACGAAAAATGGCAAAATTTTGGTTGCTATGCATATCGGTTGCCATAGCAACCGATGACCAGTTTAACCTGTTCTGGATAAATATGATTTAAGCTGAAAAAGGCTATTTTCAACAAAATTTTTCATAGTAAATAAATAAGTGAAAGAATAATTTTTTATGATTTTATTAAATATATGCATTTTATTAATGTAATTTAATAACTGATATCTTCATATCAATTTTCAATCATAACCACAAATACCCCCCTTTTTATGTGGTTTGCATTAGGTAAAAAATACCCTTTTGAGGTCATTTTTGAATGCTCACAAAAATTTTTTGCGGACACCTGAGTAAAAGTCAACCATGAATTCATAAATACAATAGTCTTATCTTATCAATGACGCGAAAAAGTCATGGGGAAGTATGTCCCATTATTTTGTTACCATGGATACAAAATGCTTAGTTTTAATTTTTTCAGAAAAAAAAAAATTGAAAAATTGTGAAAAAAAAATGTTTTAAAACCTAATTCTGCAGTCAGAAAAAATAAATAAATATACAATTTGTAGAAATGATTGTAATCATCAAAATTTTAAACATATTCATATATAACGGTATTATAGTTTAAATTCAAAAAGAATTGTGTCGCTATGGAAACAATTTCATGATGATACACAAGTTTAAAACAATTTAAAAAAAGTTCCAGTTAGTTTCTTAAATGTGCACAAAAGTAGGAAAACTAAAACACTTATCAAGTTTCATTGTATACACACATGTGTATATAATAATAATTTTGCTAGTATAGTATATCGATAATGGTGTTACCACTTGAAGGAAACAAACACAATTTCTCTAATCTTGATAAAAGTGCTGATTATGAAGAAATTTCATGAAAGATTTTGTGAAAAAGAAATGATCGATTAGTTGTGGTTTGCTTTATGTCCAGTGTCAAACATCTCATGCATATTTCAGAAGAGAACAAAATCATTTAATTTAATAGAAACATTGTAGGCCCTGCTAGTCTAGTGACCAAAAATTAATTAAAGGTAATAATTTGATACAATTCAACACAATAAAAAATAGAACAAAAAGAGTGAGACGTTGATCCTCTAAATAAATGATAATTGACCATCTAACCTCTCTTTGTATAAAGGAAAAAATACCTACATTATGAGCTGTTTATTTTCTTATTCATTCTTAAACTCAATGTTGAAATGGCAAAGCATGCATAGCTATACGTTTTGAATAATATTCGTATTATTGGATGATGAGTATCTATATGAAGATCATTTTTGAGTAAAGTTGAAAAACAAACAATTTCAGAAAGGTCCTGCAATAGGGGTAGGCTTGGATGAAGGCGGACAATTTGAAATATCACTGGCAATCGGGATCAATTAGACAAGGACAGAAATTTCAACTGGTCAACTAGGGAGCCCCTAAAATAATTAACGCAAGCGTTCTTTAGCAAACAAATGGCGTAACCAGCCAGGTTGGGTACAGTCAGCCGTCGATCCGATGGTCCCTGCTATCCATCCGACATATTTCTTGTTTGCCGTTCTGGCCGGGGAGGAATTTTTGAGATTTATTCCCAAAGTTCCATTTCTCTACGAGGACCCGCGGAAAATCTGTCAGCGGGCAGCTGCGGGTCTTACGACGAGCAGCCGTGGGGGGCGGGGGGGATATAACATCTAGACAATTTTCATATAAAGGGTCCCACTGACTGCCACAAGAGAGGGCCCGCTACATACATGCTTCAGTGATTCCATATGTTATCAACCAAATGTTTCCAATGAAAGGCAGGGGTAGGTCCTTCGGGCCCCCAGGATCCGATTAAAGTAGCACTATCTTAACATTAGTAATAGGCATTGGATTTTTCAAATTTGAGAAAATAACGATTATCTTTATGGATTTTTAGCAGCAAATTAAAAAATATTTACAATATGAAAACTTAACACAGGGTAAAGTTAAAAGAATTATATACATGTAGCTGAAGGACGCCCCGGGTGCGGGAGATTCTCGCTGTATTGAAGACACATTGATGGCCTTCGGCTGTTGTCTGCTCTATGGTCGACTCGGGTTGTTTTCTTTTTGACACATTCCCTAGTCCATTCTCAATTTTATGTACATATAATTTGATTTTCACTGAAAGCCCATTACAGAAAGATGTTTCTCAAAATTAGTATATTGGCTTTCTTTTAACAAAAAAAATTAGATTTTACTATGAAACAGAACTCAATGTTTATAACATATTATACATGTGACTTTTTGTCCGTGACTTTTTGTCTGTGACTTTCTGTCCTACATTCTGACAGTTATCTTGACCAGGAAAAATTACTATATACCTATTTATATGTAAAAGGCTTTGCATCAAATTTATAGAAACACTTAGATTGAACCATTAATTTTATCAAATAAGAAAATATAAAATGATTTTCAAACATATTAGCAAACGATAAATGTATTGACTTTCGGATAGATTTAAACTAAGACAAGGCTCTTGCATACCTCAAGTTAAGTCCGCGAATATGTTTACTTATATTTTATGAAAATATTTTAAACTACCAAGATATCGTGCATACAGGGGCTCAGGCATACCTCAAGTAGTCCTCAAAATGTTTTTTTGTTTGTTATGAAAATATTTAAAACTACCAAGATATCCTGCACAAAGCTCGGGCATGCCTTAAGTAGGACGTGGAAAAAATTATTTACTGTTAAGAAAATATTAAAAAACAAACTATATTGGAAATATCAACTTACATGTATTTGTGGCCTACGTCACACCTTTTTTGTGTTACTTTATATTTGTGATCAAACTTGTCAAATTATAACCGGTAATATACGACATGATTTACAACACAGTAAAATACAATCTACTACTCAATACTATAAAAAGTTTAAATAACCCCGTGCTCGTCACAGTACCCTTAACTGTTTTTCCCAGGTTTTTTTTTTATTATTTGATAAAGACTTTACCATTCAATCTTAATGTTGTTTTTTATAATAAATTTTAAACAAATCCTATAAGATAAAAATAAATATTAGGTAGTACAACATTCAGGACACAGTCAACGTTGGTCATGTCAAGTTTTTACCCAAAAACATATATTTTTCCTATTTTTTTTAATAATGTAAAATAACAAAGAAACGTTAGAAAGGTCACTTTTTCGGAATTTTTTATAAATTTTTCCTATATTTATATATTAAATGATGAAATTTTATTATTATTTCAAATTTAACATATATCTTTTAAGAAATCAAAGAGGTTATTAGCATATTCGTTTTGTCCTGTCATTGTCAGCGTTGACAGGTCGAGTTTTCTGCAGATTTAAAGAAGTTTTCAATATGTTTTCTTATATTTATGTATTGAATGGTCTAAATTTATTACAATTCAATTATGACATGAATCCTTTGAAAAATAAAAAAGTTTTAAGCATTTTCGCGTTGGTCCAGTCATTAGTGTAACCCACCAAAGGGAGATAATTCGTATTGTGAGGAATATTGCACATGATCATTTTTTAGAAATTAATTTCACATGTTTCTAGGTAGATTCCTCATAACTTTTTTTGAATTTTGATAAAAACAAGAATGAAATTAATTGTTTTTGTGTTTCTTTTTAATAGATGTAGCCGCATAATTTCACAGCACTACACCAAATATTGTATTTTTCTCAAAAATCCCAACTTTCTCCGCTGTTACCATGGTAACCAACCAATATATATATCGGTTGACATTATTTTTCTGACAAGGCTTATAGGATCTACATATCAGCCAATTTTCAGAAAGATCGGTGATTATGCGTGCCGAAAAAGTTTAAGTGGTTACAGAGAATGAGTATTAATAGATATATTAACCAACAAAGCACAAGTCACAATTTTCTGTGATATTAAAAAAGATATATCTTTAATCTGTCCAGCTTAAACTTCCTGATTTGTAACAAACATATTTACCTGTCATTCTTGTCAATATAAACAAAGTTTTCTCCCATGATACAACAACTGTCTTCCTTCTCAGATTGTTTCTTGTCTATAATGCTTCTTAAGGGAAATTGTTCATGAATCTCCCCATACTGGTTAAACAAAATGATTTGACCTTGCTGTCTGTAATAGGAATAAAACCCAAATGTAAATTGGTTCAACACAAAACATATACTAGTAACAAAAACACAGATGGAACGTGGCCGGGTACTTGTACATCCTAACAACAAAAGACATAGACCTGAGAGTACTAGCAGTAACACTGTTTTTTTAATCTTTGAATATTATTTTCTTGGTTACGAATATTAATAATGTTATCAGTAAAAAATCAAACTAAGTATTATCCTTACATACGTATGCACATTCATGGCTCTACTATCGTTACACCCCAGTTCTATTGTTATACTTCATAGTTTCTATTTCTGAAACAAGTGTAAATTGAATAGATCTATTGTAACGAATAACAATGGATTTTGACCACAGGGTGTGACGAGCGGGGTTTCTGGAAACCCCTGCTTCTACATCCCGCAAACAAAGTCCATTGTTATTCGTAACAATAGAAATTGATTATTTTTTAAATAGCATGAACATAAGAAATAACTAATAGTGTTCACTACAAATTGTTTCATGATATTAAAAAAAAAACACATTTTAGGAAATTCCAATAATTAAGCATCTATATGGAATTCAAAAATAATCCTTTAAATACTCTTAAATTTGCTTGAAGGTAATTTTTTTTATCCCAGCCATATGTCTCTATTCTAAAGCATTGATCTTTTAAAAAAATGGGGATTCTAACTCCCGTAACCCCCCCCCCCCCCCCCCCCTTACCCAGTGGCCGATCCGGGGTTTGGGGGTTCCGCGGGTTGGACCCGACTTTTATTTAAAAGATCAATGCATTTGAATGGTTGGACCCCCCTTTTTCTCTTGAGTTGGGAACCCCCGGCTTGATCAGCCCCTGATTCCCCCCCCAAAAAAAAAGGGAGTTCCTCAATATTAAATATTGTATGTTGAGCGTGTCTGGTAGTCGGGTTTCTAATGCAGATACACATATCCCTTAGTATGTTCGAATATGAATGTTTGTTTATTCTCGAGAAGAGGGGGGGGGGGGGTTGTTTTTGATAAAATCGTAAGATAGAAAATACAGTTATGATTACCTTTATTAAACTGATACAGGTAAGTACTTTGGGTTATAATATTGCCTTTATCTTTAGTCTCTTCTACCAAATCCAACGCTTGCCACAAAATGTCGTCCGTCTTATACCCGTCCATATTGACAATTAACTGTATACCAGGAGCATGATGTATTTTTTTATTGTAATAAGAATACACGTAACACTCAACCTTGACCTGCTGATCCACATAAGCACATGGATTTAACGGGAATATGCAAAACAACTTTACATTTGTAAAATATACTCACTTGTCAAAGTTTGAACGAAGATAACCAAAGAAAGGTTACTAGTGGGGTTTCATGTAATAAAAAAAAAAATCTTATAAATCATGGTTTAATATTGTCTTTCGTTTTGTTTTTTTTTTTTCATTTAATAATCAATGTTAACAAATATAGGGTTTAGAATGGGGTGTAAGTTAGTTATACACCTCGGGATACGGCGTGTCTGGATAAGAAACCCCTCCGGCCTCCGGCCGACGGGGTTTCTTATCCAGAAACACCTATCCCTCGGTGTATAACTATTACGTATGTACCTGTATCTTGGCATTGCGTAAGGTCGTGTTTGTCTCTGACTGTTAATGACGTCTTTCATTAAATCCATTCGATGTTTGAAATGTACTGATTGACATTCATTTCATTAGTTGATATTGACTTTGAAATAGCTGTGTTATTAACTGCGAGTACTCTCAAATCTGTACTTTCTGTCTTTTTTTATTGTTGTGGGGGTGTATAAATACCCTGCTCCGTCAGGTCTGTGGTTTTGTTAAATGTTTCTGCTTTGCATCGATATGATGAGTAAAGCCCATTTTAACTGATGTTTACAGTTTGATCTTATGTTGTACTGTTACACCACAGGGGGAAGGGGAGGGTTTGACACCAAAAAGTAGTTTAACCAGACACTATATGGGTCTGTCCCAATTCAGAAGTCTTTAATTCAGTGGTTGTCGTTTGTTGCTGCATATCATTTTTGTTTTTTATTTTGAACATATATCAGGCTGTTTGTTTTCTCGTTTGAATTGATTTGGAGGCTTTAATACCTGACTATGCGGTATGGATTGTTCACTATTGAAGGCCATACGATAACCTATATTTGTAAACTTCTTTGTCATTTGGACTGTAGTGGCGAGTTGTCTCAGTAGCAATCATACCACATCCTTTTATTTTATATATCTTCGAAAACCGACAAACAAACATAATGATAATTTTTGAAGACTTAAGAATGAAGACACAAACATCCGGCCTGTCTTCGAATAGCTGAATATTTCTTAAAACCATTTTTTCAATGTTCAGTCAATCAGATATATGAATATATGCCAAGGCTTCCATGTTGGAAAAAATGTTGAAAGGATTTGATTTTTTGTTAACTGTCTTAAAAAGAATAGGAAATGTAAACGGACGGATAACAAATCATATCAAGCGACAGCTTAAGCTATATGAAATTATTTTTAAGATCGTAGTCCATTCGTTTAACATTTCCATATTTAGTAATGATTTTGTTTGTTTAATCTACTTTGTTAATTTGCAGCTCATTATTCAGAAAAGATATGGATATAAGTTGTTTTTTTTAAACCATGTCCTCTCAAACCAAAGCTTTATAAATAAGAAATGCGGAAGTTGCGGTTTTGTTTGTCATATTATTTCTCAAAAATCTCTTACAAAAACAAGAACGTTAGCAAGTTTAAAATACCTCTTTAAAAAAAATTGTATCAACTTTTATCTTCTATTTTAATATTACCCATGTTCTGCACACCAAGCTAACTTTGCTCCAACAGTTTTGTATGATTCTTCGATGCTAACTCTTCCTAGATATAGTTTATGTATCATTGGTCTTTTAAAGCTTTCTCTATCAGCACATCTTATAATCTGCAAGAATACACGTATAAAACATGTATTTATTCCAGTAGATGTGTGTTCACAGGAACATATAGAATATTAGTTCAATGACAGAAAAATATAAACTTTTGTGTATGAGTCTGAGAAATTAAGGAAGGGCAAGGTTCTACCGAGCCCTTCCCCAGTTTTGCGCCGAGTACAAAAAAGTTTATATTTTTATGACATTGGCCTAATATTGTTTTTATACTGCAACTTAAATTGATACATTGATAGCTTTTTAAATCGTAACACAAATGTCAAACTTATTTTTATCCCTTAGTGGACCCATGATTGTGAAGAAAGTGTTCCATGCTGAAGTTGACATTATACAAAATATAGCTATGTTACTATATTTAGGAAACAAACACAGCTAGTTGCAGTATAAAATTGTTTTCCATTAAGTCATAAAAAAAAAGCAATATCAATTAGGTAGTGATGACCTCATCATAAAAACCAGGATAAAATCTTGTACGCTAGACGCACATTCCGTCTACAAAAGATGCATTAAAATAAATTTAAAAAAAAGTTATAAAGGCCAAATAAGTACGAAGTTACTGAGCATTGAGGACCCAACATTCCGAATGGTCTTGCCAAATATTGCTAAGACAATTTATTCCTGGGGTCGAAAATCATTTTTTTCAAGTCTTCATAATTATATTAGCAGGTATTTTTGTGGGGGAAATCTGAATGCCAAAAGAGATCCACCAATCCATCGAAAAGACATCTAACACTGCTTGCCATTTAAAAAGAAAACTAATAATGGAAGTAACAAATTCAACGAAATAAAAAGCATTTTAAAGACTAGTGATATATTCAATGGATTGTAAGTATAGAAAAAAACACCTACCACTCTTATTGTGTCTTTAGGATCCGTCCCATACCTAATAAGAAACAGTAGACACTTTCCATAAATAACCGGACCTCTATATATAGAGAGTTGATGTTTTGGTTTGAAACCTGATGTTATTTGATAATATTCTTGAATACTTTTACCTCTGAGAAATGCGACATGTTGCATACACTCCTGAAAATATGCAAACGATTTTATAGTATCTTATATTTTATTCTTTTTTCTTTTTTATTCAAATGTAACAAGTGGCACACTCCTGTAAAACAAGTATTGTTTAAAAAGAATATTAAATCTACGGGTAAAATCACTGTTGACAGTCACACACGGCTTTAAATTTAGTCCGCCATTTAAGCCATATATTCTTGTTCAGTTTTGTATTTTGTAGTTCTTTTTTCAGACATATTATATCTGTTTTTCGCTAACGAAAAGCCAAACAAGGTTAAAGATTCTGTGAGAAGTCTATTATTAAACTATCAATATTAGTAATGTTCATTTTAAATAATGGCTTCCAAGTTGTTTGGTGTGCAGAAATATATAATGCCCTTTATAAGATATGCTTGGGGTCGCGATCGTTCAGCCAAAGTTTGTTTCAAATTAAACCAGATGTTTCAGAGCAAACAACATTTGTGAAAATAGTTCGTCTATGAATTAGCTCAGCGCGATAGAAAACAATGATAGACGCCAAGTGATGGCAAAAGGTCACATTGCCAATAGGCTAGGTGAAATAGAAATGGAAAACCAGTTACCTTAAATTTTATTTTTGAATTTTTATGCTAGCTTAAAAATTCGATTGCAGATGCTCACAAATGTGACATGACTTGATTCATTTTGCAAAATTTCCTTTGTATCATTTGTGCTCTTCTCAAATTATCTAAGCATAAAGTAAAAGCATCATTTTGTCCTCAATTGGACATGATAATCCGTTATATATGGAGCAAAACTCTGATTGAGCTTGGTCTTAGAGAAAGGATATAGACAAACTGGAACTGAGTAAAAAACAGAAAAGAATACTTCCAATTCCGCATATTCGATGAGTTTCACTTAAAATATAACGTCGCTAAAATGACATTCTGAAAGAGAAATGAGAGTTTTGCTTTCTGTGTAGACGTTTTATTATTATGTATTTGGGTCTTGAAATTTCGGAATTCCATGGATAAAATTCACACACACATTCAAATGTTAGACAAAAACGAATTCCGTCTAGGCGTATACGCAGAGTTAGTTTAATCGTTTATCTACGGAGATTTGTTAAGTATAACAGACATTACAGTGTGTTACATTTTCAAATAATTAACATACATTGATCGTAATAGAACGTCCATGTTTATAGGCAAAATCAAGGTATTTGAGAGCATCTTGTTTATTCTGTTGTGGATTATCTTTGTCTAGAATAACTTTCTGCAAAATTTCTTTTTTTGTTTCCTGAAAATAAAAAAAATAAAAAATACTTAATTCCAAAAGAAATGTTTTTAAAGTAAAAGTATCCATTTTTCTGTTATAAAGTTTTCAGAAAAAAAAACAATCTATAAAAGTATACAATTTTGAATAATTCAATATTTGTAAAACAGCTAGCGTCAGCAACTTATTCTTTATATACTTCCTTTGTAAAACAGAATATCATATTGTTATAATTATGTAAGAGAAATAAACACACGTTATTTCTCCTAAACGGTAGTTAATGAGTACACTGGGGATATTAAATATTTCACAAACTGAATAATTGACCTGTATGGAAGTTGTTTTGGTTAGCGGTTAATTGCTGAATAGCAAATCGAAGAATACAAATATAGAAAAATATTCAACGAGAGACCGAACAATATTTTAATTCACGAATGCGCGTATTACATGAGTTGATTATCAGTGTTGGTCGGTCACGCGTTGAATATTTTTCGATATTTGAATTCTTTGATGAGATATTCTTTTTGTGACATTGACGAAATTATAGTAGAAAAAGTAAGGAAGTATATCTTTTTCTACGCATTAATAATTTGTTTTGGTGCGACGTCATCGACAACGTCTTGACAACACCTAGTGTTGTATGACTTCAGTGGAGTGGAATACACGAGTTTATTTCACATGTGCAATTATCGGGTTTTTTTTCACTCAGACATCACAGTAATTCATTGCGACCAATGTAACAAGTTATCATGGCAGTTACTTCTAGAAAAGATGCGTTCAATCCTTGTAGTTTTCAACCAAATACCTGTAATTTTTAGTTCAACTTCAACTTTCTTAAACCAAGATCTTGCATGTGTATCATAAAGGGATATATCGCATTGAAATCGCTACGTATTTTACATAGACTACAAAAGTAGTTTCGACAACATGGTCCATCACAGTGTTGACCACGGAGAAAAACGTCTCACAGACCAATCAAGATTCAAGTCTTTGTAGAAATGCAAATTAGATTATAATTATTGTAAAAAGTAAAATCACAAAAATACTGAACTCCGATGTATTGCTTTTTAACTTCTCCTAGGTCAGTTTAAGTGATTAACTATTGCAATTTGGTGTAAAAGAGGCGAAAGTTAAGAGACAGTCAAACTCATAGATTGAAAATAAACTGACAACGCCATGGCTTACAAAAAAACCAAAACAAACAGACAAATAATAGTGCACAAGACCCAACATAGAAAATTGATTTAGATGATATATGGTAACCATTGTATGAGTATTTATACTGTAAAATACAAATTTGTTCTGCAAACAAATAAGGCTTGAAAAACACTTGGATTTTTAATTTAAAAGATCATACAATTGCATACAACTTCAAATTCAGATTGCTGATCTTAAATTCACAGAAAGGGAAAAAACTTATAACGTAAGTCGTTCCACAAACGCTATGTTGAATGGATTTTTTTTATAGATCTTTTTAGTTCAAGATTGATGCATTAACGTTCACAGCTGTAGGTTAATGTCAACAGATGGGAGACAAAATGTACTTTTTAGTGAAAATACATGCAGGTTTACATGTATTTGCCAATAAACTACTTTAAACTTATCTTTAACTTCTTATTAATTGGAAATATTCATTAACAGAAACACTATACATATTGCGGCTCTATGCATTACTGACATGAACATTTTACAAAAACTAAACATCGACTCTTTTGATGTTCATCTTCAGTTATAGCTTAATATACTGGTGCATATTCTACATATGTTTGACAATTGTTGAACACTTCTTGTTGTTTCTTTATTTTTTTTCTATTTCTGTAGTTGTTAAGTAACTGTCAAATTGTTTTTTTTAATACACATGTTCCTTTATTCAAACAATACTAAATCTATATTAGTCATGTTAGAAGTCTTTAGATAAAACATATCGCAATATTACTTAAAGTCATTTACAATGTAGCAAACCTTGTACATTACATCTTGAATCTTCGAAAACAAGTTGAATTTCTCTGTAAGCCCTTCCCCATTCTTCCAATTAAAAACCATAGAATGTCTAGTTATACATTTATTGGTATTCTTGCGGTAGTAACTCTCAAAACATGAAAAACTTTGTTGTTTCATATGTACTGTAATTCCATCTTCATCTCTGTATAGTTCGCATAGAGTAGGAATATAAAAGTTACCTGAAAGAAGTAAAACCTCATCAAAGATACTAGGTTAATCTTTGCCTCGTAAGACATACGTTTTGTCACATAAGTCTTATTAGTGTCACTCACTCAAAAGTTTGAAAGTCAAATCAAATAAAAAATTGAAGAGAATTAACAACCGAAAATTATTCAAATACGTCCTAGGTGATCTTCATTTTTGGGTTAGAAATCCCATTGTGTTTTGAATATTTCAACATCTTTCAAAAGTACATTTTTGATAAATTGACCATATCAATGATATTTGATGTAAGTACAAAGGTGCTGACTACTGGTTTATGATATCCGTGTAAAAGAAACGTCAATCAGCAGTGGCAAAGGGTTAATTAAACAAAATGATCACTCTAGAAATTTGTTGAAGATTTGATTACTCAGGTATTTCATGTGTGACTTTAAAACTTATTGTTGCCTATTTTTCAGCGAAACTGATTTAGTTATTTATGAGAAAGGAAATTTTAAAGTACAATTGTATCTAATCAACACTTTTCCTACGTAGAACAAAGATTGTACAGGTGAGATTTATGTATGAGATTTATTAAGCGACGCGAAGCGGAGCCAGGTTAACGGAAGTGCACGACATGAAAAAAAGTTTTACGTAGGATAAAAGTCATGTAAAAAGCAGTTCATTCCATTCAAATGTAAAATAGGCAAATTATTCCATTTTAGTCATTAATTAGGCATACACATTTTTAGAAAGTGAAAATTCTTTTGCTTCTCACATGTGACTGTCACTGTGACAAACTCTAAAGCTACGCTTCGTGCATCAAGGTAAACGTTGAACAATGAATCATATATTATATTTCTCAACTGAAAATCAAATTTCGTACATATGTATGTGGAACTATCAAAATTTTTACACTTTTTGTATACATTCCAGAATCTAGGATGACAGCTTCGTTAGTTAGATTCAGATAAACATTGGAATTTATTTAGCAACATATGAGATGCTATCTAATTAAAATAGTCATTACAAAAAATGATTCCTTTAGAATCTTTTTATTCCCACCTGAAAAATATTGAGGAAATCGTCTACATTTTCATTTTAATTTTATGGATTTTAGAACGTTAAAGTTAATGTCTGCTCTATTACTGTTTTTAATACAATTTAGATTTATTATTTCTAATCTTTGCTTAAATATTGACTTAATCATTACAGGACATTTACGAATTTATTGAAGATGTACCTTCATCGCATATCCAACTCTCAGTTTTTCCTGGAATGCTATTGAACGTTAAGCACCTAAAATGTATAAAATAAAGCACATGTCATGTCAGTTGCAAATAAATGAAGAGTAATATATGGTATATTTAAATCAGTTCAATTTCATAAAAAAAATAGATAAAAAGTTACAATATATATCTTGACATTACACACAATGTATATGAAAATCTTTGGTTTAGCTTATGATAAAAATCTAGCGATATATGTTACATTATAGTTTTAAGAAGCCTAAAGAAATTACGCCCCTCTTCTAGAATATGCAATACTGATATTTGGTTAAAAACATTGTTTTAAAACTTTTGTATAGAGAGCTATCTATGCACATTTTCACAAATCAAGTGACCCATCTCTAAGGAGTTAGCACAATATTAACGACCAACATTATGATTGTTAGCTATCAATTCGCTTGTTCATCCATTTTGCTTTTTACAGCTATCTCTGACTGTTATTGCTTTCGTTGTAATATTCAAAGAGGGCATATATTAAAATGTCTTGCCTCCTTTACTGGCCATGATTGGTTTATGTATTGAATGTTTATAAGATAAAGGTCATACTTTAGATTAAATACATTCAACATAATAAATGGTAAACGAATATTAAGTCAAGTTCAAAGGAATCCCGTCATACGAATATGTACACCTAATTAGTTACCTTTTTACTTATAAAATCTGAAAAACGGAGAAAATCACGAAAACTGCACATATGCCAATGAAACATACAAATTAGTTCAACGTCATAGACGTACATGTGTACCTTACAACATTTCTTTCCACTAGATACAGTTGACCTTTTGTCGGTATTAATTAGGAAATGGACTAACTCATAAAAATTGCTATTGACCATGACCCTTGAAAATGAGGTTCAAACAGATGATATAAATAAGAAGATGTGGTATGAGTGCCAATGAGATAACTCTCCATCTAAGTCACAATGTATAAAAAAAGTTAACATTTATAGGTCAAAGTACGAAAGAAACCAGATGTTTGCCCTCACAAGCATACTGTATAGCTACAGAATTTGACGGACAAATTTTAGAATTTCCGAAATGGTTCTAACCATTATAAATACCTCATGGTTTGCCAACGAACTATATTAACCAGGGCAAGATCAGAAAAATGTTGCCACACGGAAATGTACAGTTAACCATAAATACAGGAACTACAAATAGTTTATGTATATTGCTCATACCATCTGTAAAATGAAAATTAAGAAAGAAACGCTTAAACGCCATGTTGAACAATGAACTTTGAAAAAGACGTAAATTTTAGATGAACAGACAAAGTATCTTACGATTATAGTATACATCAGATACCAGATATAATTCGAGCTATTTCGTGTTGTATCTGATAAACAAACCTTTTACAAAAACGTTTTAGTTGATCACGTAACCTAGATATTAGGTAAAGATTAGTTGAACTTAGTTTGACTGACATGGCATACGTAGTAGATTTGCAATGATATATACAATAATGTACTATGAAGTTGTTTAATTAGCCAATGAACCCTTTAAATGATATCTAGGTAAACAGACGGTCGTAGAAAGAAACTTTAGATAATAAGGCATTTTTTACAAGATATAAACAATGTTCTTTTTTCTTTTTTAAATCTGTATCAGATAACTGACCTGTTGCCGCCGCTACTACCCAAGCCATGTTAGTATCCCAATGTCTCGCATTTTGCAGATCAAACCAAACATTTACCAAGTACCTTGTTCTCCTCATTTGTAATTGACTGTTACTATTAAGAACGCATTGACCCTATTGAACTTTAATTAAAGGAAATCATAGATACGCTAAAATCTGCTTACATCTAAACATTTCCAATAAGGGTGGATTGAGAAAAAAAGTTGACAAAAAGGTTGATGATGTTTGCCTCCTAATTAAACCAAGACGGTGATGTTTTCAGTTGTTATCCATTCGTTTGATGTGTTTGAGCTTTTGATTTTGCCATTTGATTGGGGACTTTCCGTTTTGAATTTTCCTCGAATTTCAGGATTTTTGTGATTTTAAATGAGGTGAAAGAAAGTTTACACATTCCGAATAGTAATATCAAACCTTGTGAAATCTTTACATCAACTATCGATTTTCTGAATGTTAATTCTACTGAAATAGTTAACTTCTTATATGTAGTATACATAGTCATTGCATGCCGTCGATAGATCAACAGATATATCTTTTAATTCTTCAACATTCATTGCAAGTCAGAGTAAATTAAATTTAGAAATATTACATACCCAGTATATGGATTTAAACACACCGCTCTGATTGGTGGTAAACACATTTGCATATCTCCTGTGACACAGCCTTCTTGATTAAGACGAAAATTTAAGTTACGAGGACAAAAATCTACCTCCATTCCATACTTGCTGAAACGTTAAGAAAAATAGAATAATACCACAGATTATGCTTGTAACTTTACTGTTGTATTTCCAGCTTTAATATTTTCATATCACATTTTCTTTATTGTTAAAAGTAGGATACAGAAAATGTATGGTTTGAAAATTCACATCAAACGAATGGTTAATAACTGTCATATTTCTGAATTGGTACAGGTATTTTCTTATGTAGAAAAGTATGTATACAAATGTTATATAGATAATTCAAATTGAAAACATTCACGCATTACTAATGTAAAACTTGAACTTCAGTTTTTACTTAACGTTATACTGAACAAATGTTCATCATGTTCACGTCCCTGTAATAACAATTTTGTTTATTTTTTAAAATTGTACGCCTTTCAATCATTCCACACACCAAATATAGTGAACAAAAGCAAGTAAACATACACTGGAGAAATAAGTTTGATGTATGATACAATATAAATACAATATTTATGAAAACGTTGCAGATAATTTAAAAAAAGACAACTCTTACCTGGGACAAAATGGCGTTAAATAAAATAACGTACACAGGTAAATTTGAATATGATAATTTTGTTGTTATAAGTACGGAAATATTGTTATGCTCCACCTACGATAGTAGCAACCCATTATGATTCTGGTCTGTGCGTCCGTCCTTTCGTCCGTCCGTCCGTCTGTTCGTTTGTTCGTTCGTTCGTCCGCCTGTCCCACTCCAGGTTAAAGTTTTTGGTCAAGGTAGTTTTTGATGAAGTGAAGTCCAATCAACTGGAAACTTAGTATTCATGTTCCTTATGATATGATCTTTCAAATTTAATGCCAGCTTTGAGTTTTTACCCCAACTTCACGGTCCAATAAACAATGAAAATGATAGTGCGAGTTGGGCATCCGTGTACTATGGACAAATTCTTGTTTTTTTAGATAAATAAATTTGTTGTTCACAGTCCGAGAACAGAGGTGAAAAATTATCGTATGTATTTATGTCATTGCATGTATTCATATGTATGTTTGTATGCATGCATGTGTGTATGCAAGTTATGTATGTATGTAAGTGAAATATAAAAATTTTTGTTTCGGCAAGAAAAAGGGGGGTATCGTCAACAACAAAAAATTAAGTTAATATATTATGATATACATTTTTTGTGCAACTTTATTTATATGAGTTTAGTTTATTGGTAATGTTTACAAATATAAATGTTACGAGTAGCTAAATTGGGGTAAAATTTGACTTTTCAGGAATGTGACCTACGACAAAAGAGATTATTTCAGCTTCCCAAATGTGACCTTTTCATTTTTAAACCAAGAGTTCTTGATGGTGAAGTTGAAATCATCACTTCGTAAATTGTACGGACGCAATCACGAGTTGGTTGACCGTTTTGAAATATCCGTTGTACAGATGATATCGGTTATGTTCCTTATGTCGTAACAACAATCCCGTTCCCTTTTTCAGGAATGTGACCTACCATATTAGACTACATTGTATTTATCGGCTTTGTAATAACATGAGCAACACGACGGGTGCCACATGTGGAGCAGGATCTGCTTACCCTTCTGGAGCACCGGAAATCAACCCCAGGTTTTGGTGGGGTTCGTGTTGTTATTGTACCCTTATTTGTGACATTTTGTTCACGCATCGTTGTCAATATAATGGAATTTGCTGCAACTGTCGTACAAGTGAGAGGTTTAGCGCTATAAAACCAGGTTCAATCCACCATTTTCTACATTTGAAAATGCCTGTACCAAGTCAGGAATATGACAGTTGTTGTCCATTCGTTTGATGTGTTTTATCCTTTGATTTTGCCATTTGAATAGGGACTTTCCGTTTTGAATTTTCCTAGGAGTTCAGTATTTTTGTGATTTTACTTTTTTTGAAATGAATCTCACGACCGATTAATTTTCTATTAATATCCAACATTTCCAAACAACTTGTATTCAAAATAATAAAAAGGAAACAACAAATACCAGAAACAGTAAACCGCATTGTCTTTTATTAAATAGATTGTAACAAATAATATTATTAACGGTTTAACAAAAAATAATGTTTTGTAAATTTCATGACATATTGTGTGTAACATTTTTACTTTTAAATGCTCTTATATGATATTCAAGGATACTTGATAACATTCTGTACATTACGTTTTTGTTAAACAGCCAGGAGTAACATAAAGAATTGATGAGTGGTAAATAAAAGTTCATTATTAGGAAGCTGAAATCATCTCTTTTGTCTTAAAGATTTATTCTAAACCGACCCTTATCATCAGTGTTTAGAGGTAAGTCAAGATTGGGGAGGAATATAGTGTATATCTATCGTATCCATATTTAAAGTTCGGTATGATAGACACGTTCAACATAGTCATAAAACTTTGAATTATTATTGAAATAACATCATCTACATAACGCAATACGTGATTTTTGAGGTTTATGCTAGTTTTGTTTAAATCGTCAAAAGAAGCTTTATAATGAACATGATGAAATCCACTTCATACGATTAAAGAAACACGTCGACAAGGGAATGGCGATCATTTTCTTTAACACCTCAGTTAGTTGGATAACAAATAAAATCAAATTAATCATATTTTGTTTGAATCAGAATAGTTTTAACAACGAATGGTTAACCCCTTCAAAAACAAGACACTACTATGTGTAAACAGATAATAAATTCAATCACTTTACACAGTTTTGTATTTTCAGATTAATAATTAACTGGAACTAAAGGTGTTACACGTGTATGTTTTAGCCTACACAAATTAAGGATTAAGAACAAACTAAGCTATCCAAGTAATACAATTTTCTGTATAATTTCAGAGAAATATACCAATGTTGATTCAGTATTAATTGTGGGATACTACTTTCGTTGACTTCGAGGACATAGGCGAATCTCTAAATAATGTATTGAACAAACAATATTTTTAATAGGCTTGCATCAAAAATTTGTTCAAACCATGCAGACTCTATAATAATATAGAGTTCTCAATCAATGAAATTCAGCACATATATAGTATGTTTTTGTCATAAGTATGTTACTAGCTTGCGTTACCTTTCACTGACATATGACGGATGGCATAACTGTGTCCTCCACATGATCTTCAAGTGAGGAATTGCTCTTGTGTTGAATGAGGTTAAACATCCCCAGTTTCTCATTGCAGCGGAAATTTTTATATCATTTGGAATTGTATTACAATATGGCAAGTGATAGTCACTCCTGCAAATAAGTAAAAGATGAAATAACAAACCGCAGCTTAAACATTCAAATTATTTATTTTGAATACTCATGAACAATCACCTTAATCCGATGAGGCAAGCCCTCCCAAAATGTTTCAAACAGTTTGTTCTTATGTTATGCTGTTGCACCACCAGTTTAGGGATGGATTAAGTGCTAACAAAAATGTTAAATTTCATAACATTCTATCCGTTCATATTTCATGACAGAAGCCTATTATTTAGTGGTAATTAGTGGTTGTTATCTGACATATCTATATTAGGTTATTGTTTTTAACATAAATCAATCCGTAGGTTTTCTCTTTTGAATTCATTCACAATTTTACTTGCTTCTTTGAAACGGTATTGGTTTCGCTTATTGTTTAAAACCGTACTGTGCCTTATAACTGTATACATCTTAGTCATTTGATCTTTTGAGAAATATTGCTTCATATGTTATCATATCACATTTCTTTATTTTGTTTTTATTTCAAACAAACACTGTCACCAAAGAAATAGCAATGAATAATACAACTTAATCATTTATTCCTTTTTTTTATGTTTAGTAAAATCTTACCCAAACTGAAAGCAGTCCCATGTGAGCACAAAGTGTTTCAAATGCCTATAATTTTGTATTGACCTTCCAACTTATTAGTAACAAAACGGATCCTCTATTGAATATAGTTGTCTTGATCGTTAACTATTATATGGGTTAATTTTGGTTAATTATAATATCTAATGCTAATCCAAACGATCTACTTATCATTATCAAAATTTACATTATTGTTGAAGAAGACGTTGGATATATATCAACAGGGCAGTAATTCATCGAAGAAAACAAAATAAACGACTTCTAGGGCCTACGACATAGATTAACAGGGATCTGGTGTCTTTACAAAATGTTGAGATATGATTAGTTCCTAGTCCTAAAACTGAAAGCAATTGAATAATTAACCAGCAAATATCAGAGATCTGCCAAGAAAAATAATTGACTGTTTTTGGTAATTCAAATGTTGGAGAAATGAATCTAATGTTCCAAATAAACCAAAGTTTGACTTCATTAAATTTTTCTATATTTACGGTTTTACTACATGTAACATCTGCAATTGAGGTAGTCCAAAAAGAGAAGTTGAATTGTTTTAAGTGCTAAATCAAATGTTAATAGAAAATCAAAAAGATTTGAACCGAAGTGGACACTTCTACATGACAAAATCTTACTCTTACTTAAACCTAGATATGTGCCGGGAACAAATTTAAATGTGACCACTTCTCTGTTCAGTGAATAAAAACGATCGACTTATTACTGTGGTTTAATATCAAACATAAAAAGGGGTTTGAAAAATCTGGACTGTCAATAAAAATTGTAATACATCAACGTCTATATGTACACAAGTTTTTCTAGACTAATTATTAGCTATGTATAAAATATGCTCTTTTCTTATGTATTATTAATGCATTATGTTACATGTTTAACAAATTATGACTAACATCTTAATGTAAGCTTCTGCTTCAATAAAACTTCCCATAAAGCCATAAACACAAGCCAAATGATAGTGTAGGTCAGGATAAGACTTTACCAATTCTTTCAAACAATCAGCAGCAACTTGTAACCATGACAAATTTTCACCTGTAAATACAGTTTTTTTTAATTTGAATTTTAACATAGCCACCTACAATACTACAAGGAAACTTGCATCAACTTATAATAGTCCAGCTTTTTTCTCCATATTATAACATGAATAAGGTTCAATTTGTTTTGACATTTTCCATGACGAAAATGGGTACATAAGAGATGGAATATACATAGATAACAATACTCATAAGTCAAAGAGATACTGATATCACCATGACAAACACGGAAAGGTGTTCTGGAGGGTAACCAGAGTCTGCGCCACTTGTAGCATAAAGGAGGGGCGAAAGATACCAGAGGGACATTCAAACTCATATGTCGATAATAAACAGATAACGCCATGTCTAAAAAAGAAAAGGACTAATACACAAACAATAGTACACAAAACACAACATTGAAAACTAAAGACTGAGCAACACAAACCCCAACAACAACGGGGGATGATCCGTCGTGTTACTCCTATAATACACGTTGATAAGAAAATCAAGTGATTAGGCATCCTGGAATATTGGTTTGATAATAATCTCATATTTAGCAATCAGACATAACCAAATCGTAAATTATCGGTTATTAGAATAATTAAATACTTAAACATGAGCAAACTGAGCATTTCTTAAATAGAAAAACGTTTTTCGGGACAAAGTTTAGACAATATGAAAATAAGAAGATTTAGTATGATTGCCAATTAGACAACTGTCCAAGAAAGACCAAATGACATAGAAGTAACCAACAATATGACACCGTACGGCCGTCAACAATCATCAAAACCCACACCGCATTGTAAGTTATTAAAGGCTCTGAAATGTCAAACAATATTCAATGAGAAAACTAACGACCATATCTTTGTACAAAACAATGAACGAAAAACAAATATGATACACAGCAACAAACGACAAGCACTGAATTGCAGGCTCCTGACATGGGACAGGCACATAGAGAATGATGCAGGGTTAAACATGTTAAAAATATTTAAGACAGGAACAACTTAAGTTACATTTCTAAATCCAATCTACTTAAGATGTATGCCATCATACCATTTTGGTCAGATTGCGACGAGCCATTCTTAATATATAAATTTAAGTAAATATAAGATGTGAAACTCTAATATTCTGTTGGTCAAAGATAGTCATAACAATACTTGTAGAATATATTCACTGATAGAAATTGTACATGGTTTAAGGGAAGTGAGGCTGTATGCATAATATATCCTAACAGAACTTTTCATTATTTTTTTCTGTAAAACTTTTGAACTTGTATTGTATCAAAGTTTGTTTTAATCCTTCAACTATCCATATCAATATATAAAGGCGGATGTACGATTTGATTTAAGCTACATACATATTCTTCACCAAGCTTCTCTAAAGACTCCCATTATTTGTATAGTTGGTACAATGCAAATTGATAAATATATCTTGATTTTATGTTATATAATTTTAATTTAAAATATATATGGCATGGCAATAAATTGATATAATATATAAATTCAGGACATTAAAATCACTTCATTTACTTGACAAAACCAAAATGAGAATGCTCAATACTGTTATTGCAGTTCTTCAAATCAGGTTCTCAGTGATATCTCAAGCGCAGAGAAAACACAAGCACCTCACTGTAAGCTCAATTCGGCCTCTTACACTTGTTCGAGTGGGATTCTTTCCTAGCAGTTTTAAAGATTTAAAAAGATTAATGTTACCTGTCCACCAGTTACCATGGAAACACAACATCGCTTCGATAGAGGCACGTTCACTTCCCTCTTCGTGGAAATAGGGAGAGGATATTATACTATTCCAGCAACTTTTTGACTTTCTTGCTTTCTCTTCGTTCAAAATCCTTAAAAAAACAAAATCGGAAGAAATGTAGACATTAAACATAAAACAATTAGACAGTAACCAAACAAAATTCAGAAATCAAAAATAAATATCCAATTACTGACATATCTAAACTGAAATTGAAGCAGACGTGATATAAAACACAGCCACATATTCAAATTAATCAAAACATTTTGTAAAAAGTTAAATGCTGTTTATTGAATTGTTTCTCAAATTGTGTCCAGTAATGCTATAAATTAATAAAATTCCATTAAATCACATATGTATTCTGGATTTGAACTTGGTTTGTTATCATTCCAAAATAACCAGCATGCCACAATTATTTGGAACAGATAATTTTGCATTTAGAAACATATCACACAAAGGACAAACATGAAATCGTATGCTATCATGAATATGTATGAACCAAATTTCTTGGAAAATAACGGGGATTAAAATTATGGAACTTTTGCCTTGTATCAAAAATCCCTTACTTCAATAATAAATTTCGATTTATGTTGTGGTTTGTTTTTAGGCCATTTCTACCATAATACAGTTCATTTACATCAGGAATATTTCAAAGATGAAAACTTGTAAGAATAACATTGTAAAAGATTTTTATTTTCGTTTTTCTTAAAAACAATTTTATTGAAAGACCAACCGCTAATGTTTATAAACCACATCATTACCTATTGCATTTATTAGAGATTTGCCTCTAACATTGTGTGACTGGCTATTCACCGCCGGTCATCAGATTAGCCATGAAATGTTGACCTACCTAATGAGGTTTATTTTCAATTGGCGAATAACTTTTGTTCCTGACCACTACCTATAGCTGCTTCTGATCATTCAGATTTGCCAGTTGATGACTGACCACTTTCTACTTTGCACTATGTGTGTTCATTACCCGTTTACATCTTTGGCTGATGACTACACCTAATCATTTAGGTTGGGAAATTATATCTGTGTCTGAGTCTGAATATTCACCCGTTATCAATCAGATTAACAACTGAAATGTCTGACATGTCACTACCTACCCCTGATCATTCAGGTTGGCCAATAACATCTGTGTCTGACCACTTATCTGGTCTGCTGCTGTACAATCCCTGAATTTTTCCTGCGCCTCATCACTAGCCATTCTGTAAAATCTAGCAGCTTGATCTCCTTCGCCCACTTGAGCATGCATTCGGGCTAATTCATTTAAATACAATGCTTTAATTCTCCCTACAAATATCAAAACTGATATAAGAGAGATACCATTAACACATAAAACAATTGACTACAAAGATAACATTTCAAGGACAAAGCCGTGTAGTTTTTCTTTATCCAGACAACTAATTTATTAAAAAAATATATGAAATGTTCCGAAATATTTCTAGAAACACTGGTATTTTTGTATCAGTTGGGACATCCACGAGAAAAATAGAATTCGAAAAGGTTTGGTCGCTACATTATTTTTAAAAAACTTACGTGTTCCCACTGGTACAAGAATACCACTGTTTCTAGAAATAATTAGGAACATTCACTCGTTACATCTACACGACGGTCGCTAATTTTGGAACTTATGTGGAACTAAAATAGGTTATTTGATACATTTATTTATTTATAAAATCTTCCATTCAGATTATTCTGATACAGTTCAATAGTCCATTCAGAATTTACGTAACTATCATACTGTAGGATTAAAAGTCACCTTTCTGCAGAAACAATTGAAAAACTGGAAATTTTCATATTGAGCATTTTCTGAATTTATGTCCCTTTAAACAATAGTATAAGTTGTTAATTCTGTAACGAGATAATGTTTATTATATCAATCTCATAAACTGGTGTGTCTTAAATTAAATACATGTATGCAGATGGGAACCTTCCTCCAGTTTGAAACATCATATACGGGATTATATTTTTAATGGTTCTGTAACAGGAAAGTGTTTCTTCTTTCATTCTCATAAAATGATGTGTGTGAGATACTTATATCTGATGAGTACTTTCCTCCAGTTTGAAACCAAATTTACTGTAAAAGAGGGACGACAGATACCAGAGGGACAGTCAAACTCATAGATTGAAAATAAACTGACAACGCCATGGCTAAAAATAAAAAGACAAACAGACAAATAATAGTACAGTAGACACAACATAAAAAACTAAAAGACTAAGTAAACTATAACATAAAAAAGGTGTCAACTTGTCATACTTGAATGTTCCAGCAACAAATGTAAATGACAAAATTTGATAATTTTAAATAATTCACCGTCAATAAAGCTAGTGAAATGGCTATTACTTCCTTATAAAGATATCGCATCAAATTAAGTAGGTAATACCATGTTAAGAGAAAAAAATATATATTTATTTAAGCGGCAATACATTTACGCTTTTGTGTGGCTTAATTATATCTGATAAAGTTCATCAGAGATTTACAGTTCAATAAAAGTCTATTTTAAATCATTTTATAGTTCCGAATTAAATAAAAACCAAACTATTTTCTTTTCTCAGATTAAATTGAAATATTTACACCAATGTACACCTATGAAATTAGATAAAATAAGGCTTGTCGATTATTTTGCACCAAAACGTAAGTTTATTGAATCATTTTGCCAAAAAGCAAACGTCATGGATGAGATTCTTATTTTTCTAGAACTATAAAGCAAACGACAATGGATGATATCCTAATTATTCCAACAAAAACTCGACATCTCTCTGTTGATTTTCGCATATAAATTATAAATTAAACCAATGAAGAGATGTGAAAAGGGAAATTAATTGGCCCCTAAAAGTACAAAAATGATAGAATAATGAGATTTTGTTTTAGTTCTTGTTTTGTCATAAAGATCTGCATCCGTTACTTTGCTTTTAAATATTCTGCTTTGAGCGTGCCTGAAAAATCAAGGAAAGCGCTTCAGAGGTTTTTTTAAAGTACAAAAACTTAACACATGATGCCACAATGAAGTCTTAACATGTGTAATTGGATATACTTGACCTAATATGGTCATTTAAACATAGTATTATTACAATAGAGATAAAAAAGATTTTAAAAAGGACACATTACACACTAAAAAAGATTTTAAAAAGGACACATTACACACACATATTATTTTTGTATTTTACCTTTTGTAGATAAAAATACTTATAAAAACAGCATTATTTATTTTGAATATGAACCCGAATCTGAAAACTTGTTTATCTTGTATGAAAAAAGGAACCAAAGTTAGAACAAGGAATGAACTGTCAAACTGTGTTTTCTTTATTTTGAAAGACCCTTTCGGGCTTGTTCTACCTGTCAATTTCTATGCAAATTTACCAATCTATCAGAACCACAACTCCTGAACGGCAACATTGAAATTTAAAAATGCAAACTTGACCACAATTTTGTAATCAGTAACAGGATGTTAAAACTTTAAGAGCATTGGTTTAGCGGTTTATAAATTATTGCATACAAACAACAAATATATTTTTTTTAAAATGACCAAAGACCATATCTCCTGAACGATAAAAGATGTAATACGTCAATATTAATATTGACCACAATTTTGTCATCAGTAACAACATATAATAATTCAAAATCCATTGGTAGGAAGAATAAGTAGTCATTGAACGGAAAGGACATAAAGTGCATTTTTCCAATATATCAAGGACCATAACTCCTAAACGGAAAAGTGAAAATCGTCAATATCGAACTTGACCTCCATTTTGTCAACATTTAAAAATTTGAAAAGCAATTGTAAAAAGGTTCATAAGCTATTGAACGGAAACCCTAGGCAGCCGACCGCCCGACCACCAGGCGGCCTGCGCGCTGAACTTCACTAAATTTATAACTGTTTTTCATTCAGAAAACCGACATAATAACATATCTCATGCAATGGATATTAAACAAAAAATCATGAATATTCTACATGTCTAACATTTTATGTTCCCAAGATAATTGGCCCCTTCAACCACCATCTTTCTTTGGTTTTGACATTACTGAATAAGACTTCAACTAACAATTTGAACTCAACACGACGGGTGATATATATTGAACATTATATGCCTTACACGTCCGGATCATCTGAAATCATCCTCCGTTTTGTGAATGTTGTTCGGACTTTAACTTAGTATGTAGGGTTCGTAGACTATGGCCTGTCATTTTGCTTTATTTTGCTTTGTTTTTATAGGTCTCTACTCGAATGTCATTGTAATCATCAGCCTCTAGTTTACCTCTCCTTTCTGTCTGCACTAGAGCCAAGAAATGATCTGTAGCAAGTTTTAATTCTCCTCTGGCCCAATAAACATACGGCATGGCTATATCAAAACAGACTTTGGTTCCAACTGGAAATCTACAAGGTATTATTGATTGATTGAGCAGTTTAGAAATAAAGCCCCAAGTCGAAAGATATAAGTATCATATGAAGCGGGATTCTTGTTCAAAAGTTAAGATATAATTTCTGTTTACTTATGCAAAAATTAGCAAAGTCATTATTTTTATTATTACATACCTTTTCTGAAGGATATGCTTCACTCTGCCTTTCAATGTACTGTATCTTTTTGGTTCAATATAAGATGCAGGTATCATAGAATCTATGGCTGTGGCAAATACTAAAATTAAGAAATAACTCTATTTTAATTGAAACTATGCAGACATTCTTCGGTAGTTTTACAGTCGCAAATTGAGTTCACGTGGCGACGCGTTATCTCTATTATAATGAAAAATAAACAAATCATCAATTTTAGTCATTATTTCGGTGCAAAAATTCCGCGAATGATGATATCTTCTTTGGCACCTAAACCACGTGACGTCATATGCATGCTGTCGATGTAAAACGTAAACACAGGTCGTTTACTGGCTTCTTATTGGCCTCAAAATGAAATAAATTTGATAAAAAAGAATATTTCAATGTGTAAAATGTGAGTGTTTTGCGTATTATTCAAGAAATAGCATGTCAATATATTCCGGAATTCAACATGTCGGCCTCCCTAACTTACATGCAGAGAGATAGAGAATTTTACGCTGATTTTCATCCCATCAGAAACATTGATACAAAAAACTGCATTAGAATAAAACATAATTTACTGTAGAATTTCTTTTATAATTAATGAGGTCAACATGAAGTTATTGGAGTCATTGGGAACAATTCAATGTTTGTCATTCTCATAAATTAAAATGTGCTGAAAAAGTACCAGTTTTTACATCACTCAAGGATGAATAGAATCATTTTTGTTCTCAACTTAATGCAATATTTTAAATACTAAACATAAATTAAGAAATTCAAACAAGTTATGACGCGGAATACTACCAAAATTTTCAAACACATAACCATATGTCCTACAGTCTTGATACCAGAAATGAACCTATTTCCCCGTTTCTAAGCTCTAATAGATATAGTCACACATATCTGTTTTTATTAGAATTTACCCTTTAAATCGTATAAATTTACAGGGAGTGAAAATTCTTTAGATGGGTTTTTCGTCATAAGGTTGTACACAACGTACGGTCTTACAATGAAGCAAATATGGTTATCAATTAAACAGAATATAGCATTGAACACTGTTGAAACAATGTGAATTATTTGTTTTTAGTTTGGTATCTGTGCTTCATTTCTGAATTTTGACAAACCAATATCTATCTAATTTAAACACTCTACCTTTAGCAGGCAGATCATCCAAATTTGATTTCAATTATATAAAACACATTTTGATATCCAATGTACAGTAATAGTTTTACCTGACAGTCCAAGCAAACTGCTCACGTAACTGTTATCAACATCTCGATTTGTGAAAACTGAAGATAGACAATAATTTGGAAGGCATACAGTCGATGTTACATGTGAATAACTGTTATAGTTGTCACCCCAGCAATAAAACGGTTGTATCAAAGTATTTGCATATCTTTTCATATATAATTCGGTGTTCCAAATGTTTCTCATTGAAGAAACACTTTTTTATCACTCAGACCATCTTTGTCAATATGATGAACCCATCTGGTGATCGGTTTATACTTGATGCCATTAACTTGATTTTCTTCCTCTTGTTCTAAACAAGACAAAACATAAAATAACCATTTTAACTGATTTTTGTGAAAAGTTGTTTCTGTAAAAATGTCACGATACATTTTTCTGCATGCCTTACACAATGTATTACTTTCTGAAACCAATCCTTTAGAGCTCATGAGACAAAGTTCTGCAAGACTTGGAACCTTTTTTCTAACACTAAGATCGCTCTCGTGTATATCCTCCTTTACACCACTAAGCTCTAAGTTATCATCTATATAAGGTAATGGATAATGATTATTCCAGTACATTTTTCTTTTAAAACGTCTTTTTCTCTTTTGCTTTTTACTTGGTGCTCTTGTTTGATGTAGTGAACTGCAATTACTATCAGTGTCCTTAGCACGAAATTCTTCATTTTTATTACTCAGCTCATCAAATGTATTAATGTTTATTTCACTATCTGCGTCAATATCAGTATCATTTTCCCCACTGTCATCATCAGATGCATCACTCCAATCGTCTGATTCACCTTCTGAACTTGTATTATATTCCATACTTTCAGTTTCAATACTTTGAAGACTCTTGTCTGATCTTTGGCTTACATCTTGAACAATGCAATCTGACGAGTCCTTTTTTACCTCTAAAGTCTCCGGTTTCCTATTTTTCCATTTCCTTTTAGGACGTGTTGGTTTTGCAGGGCCTTTTTCCAATGACAAAAGTCTTGTATATGATATTCTGTGAGACCTCTGTTCAACTAGCCTCTCCAAACACCTTGCTTCATCCATCTTCTACAAAATGTCATTCTAAAAATAATTTAGGACTAACGTTTTCTATTCTATACAATGAATTAATCAACAAAATGTCAATATCAATTGTCTTTCTCAGTTGTATTTCTATGTCGTAGTTCTGACCACAATAAACTGTTCACATGTACCGTTTGTTTTGTTTTATTCTCGTCATTAATAACTTTTTGAAAGAAGATTTAATAAACCAATAAATTACTAGTAGGTGTGTTTGTATGATAACTGAAGTGTAAAACTTAAGGTTTGTATATTGAAGGATGGATGGAAGGACATAATATAATTTCATATATTACAACGTATTGTGAACAATTTTATCTATGTAATCATTATACTTTTTTAATAAATCATATGTTTAAGTAATATAGAAAAATTAAAGTTCAATTTAATTAGTAATCAACAAAGTGAGTCTTAACTAAAATAATATTCCTAATTTATTTCTATTGAAATTCGAATATCTATTGCCACTGCCAACATGCTTCCTTCTTTTTAATTTATGTCTGCTTTCTATTGGCATGCTGGGCTTAAGAGAAGAGGCGAAATATATTAAATTTAAATCAGAACTTGAAAATATGTTGGACAAATATTTCACAAGAGTGGGATGAACATAGTATTTATAGTCTCTACACATGATAAAGGTAACGATTTTCAGGCATTTATTCAGTAAATAAATTGTTAACTAAAAACAGATCTGACAAATTAGTTCTATATGTTCAAAAAGTATATGTATATTTTTGTATCAACTCAAATAAAATTGTACATCGGGGACATTTTTTTATCTCCTTATCTACTTTATCCATGTAATCTTTGATTATAAAGATTTAAAGTTAATGAAAATATATTTAAAACAGTTTCTTTTAAATAACACAATGGGTTACAACTGAAAGAATTCTTACCAATCTCTTTTTTTATATATGCATATAATTAAAAAAAAATCAAAAGGCATTTTATAGTTGAGCCTAATGATCTTCAACAAAAAAGTGTTTCCACAATGTTTCATTTTCTTGATCAAACAAACGTTCAAAAATCAGAAAAAAAAAGTTGAGTTGAACGTCATATGAGATTTATTCTTTCATCTTTTTTCAATTTTTTTTATTTGGTTTCAATTATTTTTTATTTCCTTATAAAATATACACATATCCGTTGAAATAATTCAATGTCACTTCATAAATGTATTAATTGCAAAGTTTTATATATGTCAGGAAATTGAGAACTAAAAACGTTAATTGAAATAGATTTTAACATTTCTAGTGAAAATTCACAATCATATGAATATTATTAATTTAATGTATGCATTCTCAATGTTTATATGTAATATAATTCGTGTGCATCATTTATAAACAGAGGAAAACATTGTCAACTGCAAAACCTTAAAATTTTCCTTTTTCTCATGATGGTCAAATACGAAGAATAAACCAAATTTGTTTTTGCGATAACAAATAAAACTTTTCGTTTAACTAATGTACTACATTATTATTGTTTCATCTACATAGATTCAAAAAGTTATCAAAACAATAAAATTTGGGAGATTTGGGTATTCGTTTGATTTAAAACAATTTGGTCGCAAATCGTCTCTTTTTCAACAAATTCACGGCATTCCTATGGGCCCGAACTGTGCGCCTCTCCTTGTCGATCTCTTCTTATTTTCATATGAGTCTAAGTACCTTCAAAATCTTTTTCAAGAACAAGAAGAAAAAAGAAGCCAGATCATTTAATATCGCATTCAGATATATTGATGATGTTCTTTCCATTTTGAAATTATCAATTTCCCCCACCTTAGTAGCAATATACCAATACCAAGGCGTTTTGATAAATATTCCGTATCAACTTCAAAAATAATACACGATGGTCTTATAATGGAATTTGATGCGATTGTCATACATGTAAGTAAGAGGTTTAGCTAGCTATAGAACCATTTTTAATCCACCATTTTCAACATAAGAAAATGCCTGTACCTAGTCCGGAATATGACAGTTGTTATCCATTGTTTGTGATAGTGTTTGCCATTTGATTAGGGACTTTCCGTTTTGAATTTGCCTCAGAGTTCGGTATTTTTGTTATTTTACTTTTTCTATATAAAAGTAATTTGTAAGAAAAATGTGTTTTGTAATGCAATTGACAACCTTAAAAGAACGGCCTATGATCAAAGATAAGATAAACAGAGAATATTATATGGCTTTTTCAATATCCCACCCGTTTCATCTTTAGTCATTTTATCACTTCATATAAAAATATGATGTAAGTCTACTTACCACTTATGTATACCTCTGTTCATTTTTGCATTATCAAGCAAAAAGAACATTGGTATATCACTGTCGGCAAAACACAGTAATTCTGCTTTTAAAAGATAATTAAAGAAGTTCTGTATAGAGTGAAACAAATTATTACTATTGTTGTGAAACATTAACAGCGGAAGTACAAGGTCAACAATGTTTTATTTTTAGATATATTTGAATCACCATGTATGTATTAAGGCTCACGAGAGTCATTTGCTAAATAAACATACAATTATCATTGATTAAACAAAGACCTGTCATGAGAACAATATATTGACCTGAGATATTATAAATTAAATACATATGATACAGGAAATTAAAATCTGCATTAGTGAGATTGTTACACCAATTACAGCACACCAAAGCTTTTTGTATATTATTCCATAGTTTTCACATCATACTAGCTACAGGGAATGACAAAATACCACTGACACTCCAAAGGCAGTGGTCATCAATTACAGTTTCACTTCATTTCATTGTGTATGTATATCTCAATTTTAATTTTTAAATAAGGAAATGGATACCCGAAGTCTACCCCTTTCCCCTCGTGTCTACTTATCTATGAAAAAACGGGTAAATGTTGCCAGGGAACTAGAGACAACCATAGTAGATACTTAAACGCATATACATTTACTCATGTTAATATCCAGTGTATATGTCTGTTGTTATCTGCAGAAATTTAACATGTGTTTATGATGATATGCGTTGGCACATACATGTATCAAATAAATATCCTGAGATACGATGTGTCTGTGTCTCAAATTACTTGTTTTAAGATACCAAAATAGTCGTTCGATTTGTATGTTTATGATCGAACTAATTTCAAAGTAAAGACACGGGTGAGAAACAGCATTTTGATATGGAAAAAAAAGATGATTGGCAGTTGTTTCAAGAGAATCTATATGAAGTGTCAACTGTACATTTTACATTAGAATTTGATATTTTTTAGGGTCGACATGAATTAAAAATGACGAGGACATGTTCCTTTAATGATTAGATTTATGTGGTGATCGAATGTGCATTATGCACATACAGTAACACCCTAAAGACCATAAATGATTGAGTTTTCTCATAAGAACATGAAGAAAACAGTTAAATATCATTGAGGAAGATTGACCTTCTTTACAATATATTACTTATTTACGTATGCATATTCAATGCTTTATGAATGACACTATTTAAATTTTCTTACCGTTATCTACCGCAATCATCTGTAACTTAAATATACCATCACGATTAAGGAACTATGTCAGATTTTAATAGATGTCTAGATGGTTTCGCTTTTACATTGTATTTAAAATATTTGAGCTTTGTATATGACCAAATTAATTTGTCTCGATATTGAAAGTAATTGTAACACGATAGGACATCATGATACAGGAAGTATTTATATTTAAATATATTTCTAAAATTGGAACTTCCTGGTTGTGCGGAGGATTGGTGGGGTCCTTCATTTTTTGTCATTGAAACCACTTTTCTCTTTTCCCTTTTTTCTTTAATTTTTACCGTTATTCTCTATTCTTTATATTTCAGTTCCCAATTTTTTTTTATTTTCTTCATTTTTTTGTGCTAATTTTGTCTCTATCCTGTTTATAACATTTTCCCAATTCCGAATGTTTCCACATTGCTCTATCCTAGTTTAATATGCTTTATTCATTAGTTAAAATTCAGCTTTGAAAACCTCTTAAATTGACACTACAGGTATGTGAGTTTATTGTTTTTGTGCTTCGTACATCTATAATGCTTCACACCCTTCTCAATTATAATCATTTTTGTTAAATTCCGTACAGTCACCTGTTATTATTCACATCTCTGTCTCTGATCTAAAGATAAAGATTAATTTTATATTATTGGGATTTTGTATAAGTTGTATAACTATTGCCTTTAACCGGTTTGGCGGTCAGTATATAAGCTAATTGCACGATTTTTAGTTATCAAAGACAAGTTTGTTTTTTTTTCTACAGAAATATTTGTAATCAAGTTGTTATATAGTACAGTATTCAAATGTGTTGTATTTATTTTGTAGATTTTTTTGTAATATAACGTGACACTGTTGAACATTCTACCAGGCAGTGTATCTTGTGTTGTTTTAATGGAATTTATTTTTGAAGTTTGATGGACTTGATGGACAAGTATTGTGAAATAATTGTATGAATTTTAAGATTACATATTCGTTACAAAAATTACGTCACTGTTAGTTATGTCCTGTGCTCGTCGATGGAAGATGTTGTTGCTATTCTGCGGTTGACATGTGGTAACGACTTTTATATTATTTGTTAGTGCATTTCTCTGTTACGAATTTTCCTGGGAGTTCGGTATTTTTGTTAATTCACTTTTTGTTCCTTTTTTTCCTCTTGTTTCCTTCGGTTTTAGTTTATATACACTAATGTTGCCTTTATTTTTTTAATGTTAAAGAATTCATTGTTATCTGTTGTTTTTTTTAGATATAAGATACTTAGGATAAACAACAGATTTGTTCATAGCAAACGATGGAACAACAGGTCACAATCCATGATGAACTTCAAAGACAAATTCAAAAACAAATTGGAGTGCAATTGCTGATAACGGTAATGTAGTTTTTTCTCTCCAGTAAATGCACTTCCTATGAGACGAGGACAGCAATAACGACAACTCTTGTAAATTGTAGAAAGCAATCTCTCAAATATGGTCTGTCTGGTGAGGTTTTTTCAAATGTGAATAATGTCTTCATTTTTGCTATAGTAATATATAGATGGTGTGTCTGTAGATATATCAATAGTCTTTGTATTATAGCAATATGTACATAGTGTCTATAGATAGTGTACAACAATACCTGTTTTTTTAGATGTTGTCGTTTAGTGATGTGGTTCATAAGTATTTCTCGTTTCTCGGGTTTTTCCTATTTAAAATAACCCTAGTCATTTTAGAGTCCTTTATAGCTTGCTGTTCGGTGTGAGCTTTGAAAGCCGTTCTTTGACCTATAATGGTTTACTTTTTACACATTGTTAATTGGATGCAGAGTTGTCTCATTGGCACCTATTCTCCGTGGTCATATTTTGTGTTGATCACAGATGGTAATTAGGTGTGCACATATTCAATGACTATTAAGTCAGAAGAGCACAATGTATATATCAGTGGAAAAGCAGAATGCTGTTATAAGTAACACCCAGGACATTCAACATGTTCAACATGAATTAATATAGTTGTTACTGGAATAGTGAAATGTGATACAAATTTTTAAATTTTACATGTTGTCGTGAAGTTTCCATCGAAAGATATGAAAAAAAATAGAATTGGTTTCTATCTTATTTACTTATAACATCTTTGTTTAGTTTAATTTGATATTCAGATATTCAAAAAAATTGTTGTGAAAACTTTTCCGTACACTCATAAATCGGATTTACTGTGAGTTTTAGTAAATATATATGACTTTTTAAAATAAATTTTGTTGTCACATTGATGCAGAGGAAATTGTTTTTACCTTTTTTATTAATCTAATTAATCGTCATCGATATTTCTGTTTTTTCATCTTTAAGATATTCGGATGTTTTTATGATCTTTACATTCACATTTTAATCCTGTACAGTTTCTTAAGAAATTAGTGAGCCATATAATTGGCAACATTTAAGTATATCCCGCACCTCCGTTATTTAAATAATTATTATTCTGGAAGTTATTCCGAGCTTTTACAATTGAAATGTTCCTGATCTTAGTGCATACCTGTTAATTTTATTGCGACGTTCGAAAAGGTTTTCTAAACCTGTTCATATATCAAAGAGGCGATGCCTAAAGTTTTCCTAGTAATCTGAACTGTTATCCTGCAAGTAGGTAAGTAGTTTTGTTCTATTAGAAATTATACCTAAAAAGTGCGATATCGATGTTAATGTATAACGTTTTGCTGTCAATATGTTATTACATAATATGATAAAAGTCTGAATAGAGGTTTACTGAATACAGAATAATGGGGATATAATACTTATAAAAGGGGCCAAAGTAACAAATATTACAGAAAGTTTACAGAAAAAGAGGCAATCAAAATACAAAAAACAGAAAACTGGGGTGTTTAACATAAATAGAAGAGAAGTTCAAATTTGTTATGTTGAACTCGTTAAATTGTTATGTTGACATCGATTATAAGTGCAGGTAAAATTTTAAAATTCAATTCACGTCATTTGAATATAGTCTTGTGTTATTCTATCAAATTATATCAATTGAATATGACAATTCAAAAACAACTTGATAAATATAGATTTCAATAACATGAGTATAATAAGCCGGGTCAATTTGCCGTACATCACACATTCCATTGGCGGATTTCTTTATCAGAGATTATCGTTTTGAAAATGCTTCCTTGCGATAGATACATATATTCCTAGTTTTAAGTTAAGTCAAATGCATAGCGTTCTCTCATTTCATGTAATGTAATTGACGAACATTCAAAGGTAAATGATGGTATTTCAGATTTGAAAAATTGTTAAGGGTGTTCGTTTCTCTTGTTTTTGAATTTTGCCAGATATTCGGAATCCTCTGGTTTTATCCATGTTGTGCCATTAAAAAAATTTCCCTACTAACCCCTACTTTCCATAATTTTATTACATGTAATTTAAAAACTCCTTTTTTAAAATCCAATAACCCTATAAGTTTTTTTTTTCTTTATTTGTATGATATTTTAATGTTTACTTTAATCTATTTTTATACAGGGTTATTGAAGATAACACACATTAAAATGAATGCTGAGATCGTCAACCATATAGATTGTTCCAGGAAAAATTTAACAGCAATGCCTGATGTTCTGCAAAATTCTACAACAGATCTAAATCTCCGAGGAAATCTTTTACACGTAGTTCCTGCATGGTCTTTCCAGAAATCAAAAATATTAAAAAACATAGATCTATCTTATAATCGGCTGAGGTTGATTGAACGGGGAGCTTTCGATGGACTAGTCGAACTTTCCATTCTCAACCTTAGAAGTAACTTATTAACTTCAAAATTATTTAATGTGAATATTTTTCAAGGTTTAATTTCTCTTCAGGAACTAGTTATAAAAAAAATCATTTTTACGATAATTATACATTTTTTCAATCCGAAATATCTCGAGTAAAATCATTGGTCAAGTTAAAAATGGACCATACCAAATAGATAAATGTCTTTGTAATTTATCAAACCTACAGAACCTTGAAATGTTAGGACTGCCTGGACAAACATATGCAGATAATTCATTTCAAAACCTAAAGTGTCTTTAAATAGAAACATTATTGCTTGATTTTGTGATTTCACTAGCACCAAACACGTTCATATTTTTTCCGTATTTAAAAACGCTAGGGATAGCAATACACACCGCTCGTGCTACGTACGACGTAATAAGCAACATATTTAGTTCTTTGAAGATTTTCAAGGGTAGAAATATGACGGAAATAAGCGTTCCTGGAAATCCTCATAGAAACGGATTTGTATTGGGCCATTCTCACTTTGCAGTACTTGAACAAATATGTCTACAAAAGTTGAATTTGGTGGGTGATAGTATACTTGGTGTAAAGTTCAATCCTTTTTTGAGATATGGATATAAGGAGAATTGTTTAGAAGAATTAAATTTGTCCGATAATTTACTGTTCGATAGAAAAGATGGATATTAGCTTGCATTGTGTGCATTTAAACATTTGAAAATAATCAGAATTCCACACGAAGTAGATAAAGACAATAGAGTAAAACGATCCACCAAAAATGACGTATCTTACTCGTTTTGCTTGCCAAAAACTATAAAAACAGTTGGACCTCCATTCGCACGTTAAATCATATAACAGTAGGAGAATTGCTAATCTAACTATTATCAACGGGTCAAATTTAAAAGTTTTAAATATGGCTAACGTGACAGTCCAAGATTGTAATGGTACGGTTAATGGCATTGAAAACTTAGAGTATTTAGATATGTCAGGATTTAACTGCAAATTATTGAGTGAACATCGTCTCTCGCATTTACCTTAACTGGTTACTTTCATTGCACAAGATGCAAAACTTGGAATCGGGTTGAACTCCCTTGAAACTGCCTCAGATTTCTTTAAGATGAATTTAGATCTCCATCATATTGATCTGATGCAGAATATCATACATTCATTACCAGATGGCTTGTTCCATCATCCTTTTAGACAAAAGATTTTTATAATATTGGATAAAAACAACTTACAATCACTACGAAACTTCCCGTCAAAACCGAATACTATTGAACAAATCAGTTTAAAATACAATAAATTTTCGTGTCTTAGCGATGACAATATCGCTAAACTTGACATAATAAAACCTGCAAGTGTTTTTCTTCGTGGAAATCCGATTGAATGCTCTTGTAAGACGTTAAGTTTTCTGAAATGGGTGCTCCGTTCAGGTATTATAGGTGATGTCGATGAAGTAGAATGCGTCCTCCAAAATGGAACTCTTGCAATTTTGTCTCATCGTTACAACTCTAATTTGGCATTAAAATGAGAAAGATCATATTATAGAAAACATTTGTACTTAGTTACAAGTTGATTGGACTTCAAGTTCAAAAAAGACTACCGTAACCAAAAACTTTAACATGAAGCGGGACAGACGGACGAACGAACGAACGGACAGACGCACAGACCGAAACACATTTTGCCCCTCTACTTTCGTAAGTGGGGCATTAAAAGGAACAAAATAACAGTTGGTAAGCTCGATCAACGGTTGCGTCCTAATATATATATATATATATTAATTTGCATATTTACATATTATCTCTCGTTGTGCTGAATCTGTCATTTTTTGTATGTTCAGTTAAGATTTTGTCTGGATGGTTATTGCTTTTTCCCCCATATTGCACTGATAAGACAATTTGACTTGTACAATATACAGGTATATGACTGTCACTAAACAATTTACACTGTTCACAGGCGTTGACATTAAGCGCTTTCTTTCAAAATGTCCCATAAGAATTGACATCTTGTCATGGGTTATTGTCATTTTCACTAAAAAAATTCTGCATCATAGATTTATGTTCTTCGGACTGAATGCACAATGAAATCATTTTTTTTTAATCTTATAACTGATAAAATTCAAGGGATCGTCAGCCAAAATATCTGATAAACCATTTAAAAAATGATGATTATGTTATAGACTACCCTTGATTTATGAAAATGAAGAAATAAAACATCAGCAACACTATTTGAATCGGGTTTAAATATTGTAAAAACTCAAGACAATTTTGTATATTTATGCTGTACAAAATCATCCTTGTCGAAGAAAAGAAAAAGATACCAAACCTACATTCAAACTTGTCAACCCATTCGTATGTTGATTGCCGAACACTTTAGCCTGAATTAGTCCACTTTGGCTCTGAGTATTTCTTATACATCATGCTAACAATAGGAATTCTTCTTGAGGTAAAAGATAATCATACTAGATCAGACAATTGAAAAATGACCCTGATTTATGCTTTATTTATATATTTGCAAAGGAAGTTTATTCGACGGTGTACACATGTGATTGTCATAGACAATGAAAGATGTACTATGGTAATCAAGTTTTATAATCCTACTCAAATGAGATTGATATCTTTTTCAATTATTACACAAGGAGGGAGACCAAACAACATTAGGTCATCTTAATATACTTATACTGTACGACCTTGACCTTGAGATTTGATTTAAATAAATGTTGTACAATTCTTTCTTCTTTGGTAAACAAAGGTTACCCTCTGGTCAATGAGCAGTTTCATAAATATATAAATCATATAAGATGAGTTTCACAAAATAACTAAACCCATTCCCTCTAGTAAAGAGTGATTATCAAAACTATAAGATCATTAAAATAGAGTCATCGTGTTATTCAGTAACATACAAAAAAAGAAAAAAACACAAAAATACACAACTCCGAGGAAAATTCAAAACGGAAAGTCCCCAATCAAATGGCAAAATCAAAAGCTCAAACACATCAAACGAATGGATAACAACTGACATATTCCTGACTTAGTACATACATTTTCTGATTTAGAAATTGGTGGATTAAACCTGATTTTATAGCTAGCTAAACCTCTCAATTGTATGACAGTCGCATCAAATTCCATTATATTGACAACGATGTGTGAACAAAATAAAGAGACATAATAGGTAAACATGTCACAAATAAGGGTACAGCAGTCAACATTGTGTTATAATCTTAATCACTATAAAAACAATCAAATATGTAACAAAGAATCATACAAGGTATATAGAAAAAGCACATTAGCAAGAATGAAAGACAAGAATACAAAATTTACAGCAGCACAATAACACAATGACTGGATGTAAAAGTACAGAACCACGTCATATGTATTAAAGAAACACAAAAAAGGCATAAGACAAAGTACATAAGCAAAAATGAAAGGCAAGAATACAAAAATATATCATATAACAATAACACAATGAGGGATGTATAAGTACAGAGCCACGTCATATGTTTAAAAGAAACACAAAAAGGCATATAGACAAAGCATATAAGCAAAAATAAAAGACAAGAATACAAAAATATTCATAGAACAATAACACAATGAGGGATGTATAATTACAGAGCCACGTCATATGTTTAAAAGAAACACAGAAAGGCATATAGACAAAGCATATAAGCAAAAATAAAAGACAAGAATACAAAAATATTCATAGAACAATAACACAATGAGGGATGTATAAGTACAGAGCCACGTCATATGTTTAAAAAAGGTTTATACACATCAATGAAAGATGATCCATAATTAAATGTTATGTTTATCCTAGACAAATGGACGTTGTCTTTATATCAGTTGAAAGTGGAGACCGATACGACTTCAAGTCATTGTTTTATATCCATCCTTTACAACTGTTCAATTTTGTAAAACTCAACCGGTACATGGTAAACAAAGTTGATAGCCTCTGTTCCGTGAGTAGAACATTCATATACTAGAACATTTACCACATAGAATAAATTTTATCAAATAACCTTACAGAAAGAAATTACCAGCGAAAAGGACAATGGAAGAAGACCTTGAACTCTTGAGTTATCCATTTATATACAAAAGGGTGTATTCATGTACGGAGTAAAAACAAATGAAGATGAGCCACATCTCATTGAGTTCTGATAACCATAGACAGAAGTGGATGACTTCGTGTATAGTTTTTGGAATAACTGTTTGAAGGGGAAAACCGAGACGCCTATGAGGTATGACCTAAAGTCAAAATTTGTTCTGTACATAGTAAAGAAAGGGGATGACCTCTGGTATATGTTGTACACTTATAAAAATAGGGTATAAAGGATGAGTTTTACCAAACCGAACCTCATTCCTTTGAAAAAGAATTATCAAAAAGTACGGCAAGAAGTATGGCCCAAATGGAGATTACAAAAAAAGAAGATAACGGCAGAATCAATAATGAAGGGAGAAAGAAATTACATGTAGCTTAAAAAAAAGAGAATTATGGGTGCAAAAGCATAAAGTGAAAAGTAAAAGAATTGGGTAACAAAATACTGATTACAGAAAGGAATGATGTGCAGAATAAAAATACCATAAATAGAAAAAATATAAAACTATAATCAGGTTCCTGAGAATTTTACAGAATATACCTGGTTTTAAAAGACAAAGACATAGTGCCCTAAAAATTTTAATAAATACAGAAACTAAGGAACCCCAATCTAGCCTCTCCTATATCTTGATATGTGAATTTTGCTCACAAAACACTCAAGGTGTTCGTACATTTTGTAATTAACATAAGCAAAGGGTCCTACTAACAAACTAGTGTAACACTCACTGCTTTCGATGTTCTCAAGTCTCCTAGTGTGACACACCAGTTACTGGAAACCATATACAACAATAATACATTCAGACACGCATGACAAACACATACGCCCGTGTGTACTGTGATGTCATAGATTTTAACGAACGTAATCAATGCATCACTGGTGAATTATTAAGTCAGGGATTTCGTTACCACAAATTACCTTAAATATTTACTAAATTCTTTCATAGATACAAGGATTTGATTATTAAATTTGGAGGTATCTGTAGAAAACTTATTAAAAACGGTATTTCACATCCTAAATTTTACGGTAATATTGTTCTTAAAGCGAGGAAATTACTGTGTGATCCGTGTAAACTCATCGAACCTTTAAACCAACTTATTAGTAAACGTTATCTTACAAATGTAGTAATTAGATCTTTGAATATAGTTAACCTTGGCACAAATATCGACTTTGTCATCAGCAATTTAACTCCTAACTATCTTACAGCATTTCCATACTTTTATTTTTGTCATTGCACAAGTCATGTCTTCTTTGACTGTCCATGAAGTTAAAATAATAAATCCCTGATTTTAGTCTTGGATGCATGCTTTTTATCATTATCAGTTGATTTTGGCTTTTAACTAGCTTTCAGTAACTGCGAGTACTCTCAAATCGTACTTTCATGTTAATTGACCTTTTGGTACAATTGTACTGTTTTATGTTATTTGAAGTTTCTCTATTTTTAATATATACCAGCTATGATAAGTGTTTAGTAAGAATATAAATTTTCATTACTGTTTCTCGTACTACTAACAACGAAATTATTAATTTTGTAAAAAAAAATTCAGTTCTCTATTTATACTGTATACCTTACAACTTAATTGCTTTCTTTTACCTGTTATTTTATTGATTTTGTATTTCTATTGTCTCATAAATCAAATTTATTCGTTCAGTGTGTGTTCAATTCTGTTAATCTGTCTTTTGATTGAGTTAAACCATTTCAAATGATATCTATAGTGTTTATTTCTATGTTGCGATGTTACACTATTGTTTTAGGTAAGGGTGAAGGTTGGTATCTATTAAAACGTTTAAACCGCTGCAGTTGTTTGCACTTGTCTTAATTCGGGAACCTGATTTCCAGTGGTTGTGGTAGTTTGGTGTGGTTCATAAGTATTTCTCGTTTCTTGTTTTTTTATATAGAATAGACCGTTGGTTTTCCCGTTTGAATGGTTTTACACGACACTAGTCATTTTTTGGGCCCTTAATAGCTAACTGTTCGGTGTGAGCCAAGGTTCCGTGTTGAAGACCGTACTTTGACCTATAATGGTTTACTTTTCACAAATTGTGACTTGGATGGAGAGTTGTCTCATTTGCACTCATACCACATCTTCTTATATCTGTATTGTACTGTTTTAAATTCACATGCAGAAATAATCAAAGACTCACATGTCTTACTACATTTTATTAAAAATATGGACGGATCATGTGTTTATAACAACTGAGCAATGTATGATTTATAAAATAAGTTCTAACAAAATTTCATACAAATATTGATATGAAAGTTAATATAAGAATGTCAAAATAACAAGTTATAGCAAACAGGTCTATCACAATTCAAATTATGTATGGCATGTCATTTATGGAAATAAATAAATGTCACAAATAACAAAACAATTGTTTTATGTATAAAATTTAAAACTGTTTAACTAATGAATAAAATGAAAATACATAGCATCAATGCAAAAAGACCTATAGTATGTATTTGACAGATTGTACAAATAACTAATCAAAAGAGATAACTGTAAAATTTAACCATGTTTTTACTGTACATGTTTATCGGCACTTTTATTTTTCAAATGAAGTAAAACATGTAACAGCATCAAAATATTATTTAGGTTACTAATTAATGCATCAGTCTGGAATCCAAACCATGTAACTGTGAATTCACAAATTATTGTGAGGTTATTGATAATGCAAAAAAATCAGGTTGCATAATAATAAAAAATAGCGTTCATTATATCAGAAGTGAATTTCCTGCACAAATTTTTCCAAATTTTGAATTGAAAATAATGGAAACAAAAATGTACAAACGAATACGTGTTGAAAAAGTGAGAAAAAAAATAAGTCATACAGAAATGGGACGGAATGTAGGAATTAATCATATTTGAATTGTATCACAGTGAATGTAACAGCTTTATAAAAATATTACTACTGAAGGAATGTCATCTAAACAAACAAATAAATGATACCCTACTGAGTCACTATTATAACAAACATATGAACTAATAAATATAAATGTTTAAAAATATCTGTTTGAAAAATAAAAGGAACATTTTAAGCATTAAATTATATACCTTTTTCATACATTTGTTTTAAAAAAATAGAATCTAAGGAAAACATAATAAGGTAATTCAAACATGAAAGTATAACAAAAACAT